AAAATCCCACAGCCAAAACATATTGCCGATTTTTGTTCCACAGGGCTACTGGGGTCTGGGTCAGGGGTTCCTATTTTTCCCTAGTTGATGGTTTTACTCACGTTTGGCCCATGAGTAAGTTTCGTGGTAGGGGTGATTGAGATTGTTCCTTAGACTGTTTGATGTCAAGATTTGTTAGGAGGAAGTTACGAGTGTGAGATTTAACTTTTGGCCAGATAGCACCAAGCCGCGACGTCCAGTCTCCGCACCGGTTCTTGCTTAGGGGCAGTCTTATTTGCACAACATAGATGACCTTCCCCACTGTAGCGTAGGATTGTTGTTGCTAGACTTGTCCCAGAAACGGTGGCAAAGGAACTACTTGTCCAAAGCCGATTTGTTTCACCTGTGATCTCCACACATATCTTATTTTTAAGGAGTGGCTAAGTACGGAACAGAGTCTGAAAAGTTCATTTTCTGTTTGCTTCATGGACCAAGTGGTTTGCACACCTAAAAATAAGAAGCTGAGTGAGGAAGATTGAGGCGATTAATTTGGCCCAAACACAGGGCAGTGATTGCCCGATGTACCAGAACCAGATGTCCCCGTCAAATCTGATTCCAAGCCGCATGTCAAGGGGCACGGGGGGAAGCCATGCTTGAGGTACATATTTCTGTTTTCGCCTGGTCAACGTGCAAAATAATGCCTGGTTCACATTTTGGGACCTTGACTATAAAACAGGCCAACCATGAAAGACCCAGAAGGCACAACATTGGCTGGACATGGCACGGGGTCGGACAAGCTTTTCCACTCGCTGGCTCAGGCCGTTGCTGGGTAGAGGTTATGTTGACCAAGGCTTCGGCCGATCCAGCGGGGCATGATGTCCCACAGAGGGATTGCTCCACCCCCACCCCACCCGGTGTTTCTTGATCACGGGTTCTCATGAGTTTTCATACTGAAACTGGTCAACCTTCCACTCGTGCGGAAAAGAAGGGGCTTGGGATATAAACCTGAGCAATCTAGGATGGCGGCCTACGGCTTGCCCTGAATGAATGGGTAGAGTATTCGCTGGGTAAAGAAAATGAGAAATGAAGCCGCAGAGAGTAGAGTTTCTTGATACGGGCGGTCCAAAAATTGGGGTGGGGGGGGTGGGGGGACACGCTACAGACGTCAAAAGGTCGGCCCCCCACTGACTCCCGAGGAATCCTTGGAGACTTCGGCGACGAGGCATTGGGCGACGGGTTTTGGCACTCCACAGAGTAGGGAAGGTCCCAGGAAACCCACTCATGGCACAGTAACTGGGAGTTAGACCCCTTTTGTTGATGTTCCTTCTTCCGTAGAGTAAATTGAAAGGATTCCCCAAACTGGAACAGTTTGTGGAATCGCTCGAGGCACAAATCAGTCCTGGGTTTTCATGATAGTAGCAAGCACCATGTAAAGTCTCCAGTTTCGAAGGTTGCTTCTCCCGTTCTTTTCACAGCCCGTCTTAAGCGCCCTGTCCTTTCACCCCATGCGCGTCGCATTCGCATTCGGCGGAACCTGGGGCTTGAGGCTTGGAGGTGCTTTGTTCCGTGGCAGGTGAGCCGGGAGTGCTGCGGCTTCGGCCCCGGGATGATGCCGGGGCCTGGGCACTACAGACAGGACCTGCGGGCAGTTGGCTCGAAGCCGACCGGGGGTCCCCCGCCCATGTGCGTATCTTTTTGGTTGAGAGTACAGCTTTTTCTTGTAGTTTCAAAGGGAAAATCCAAAGGGAGAACCACAGTTTTCCATTTTGGGGTCACTGTGACGAAAGATTGCTTGGCTGCCACTTAGATCCTTAGCCAGTCGCCCTGTGCCCCTTTCTCCTTGGCTTTCCCTGTGAAATTGAGCAACAAAGAGTGCCGTGTCCTTTTTTGATGGATTTCCACTAAAAGTCTGGGTAATGTAAAGCGTCTTGGGGGAAGATGTGTGTGTGTGTGGCCCTATTGATCAACCAGGGGGTTAATCAGGGGTTACCATCAAAAAAATCGCTGGAAGCGCACGGGTTCCCTGATGGCAGCCCTTTTCGGGTTCAGCTATTTGGACATGGCAGGCAAAGCGGGGGATGATTCTAGGGCTCCGTCAAAAAATAGGTGGGTCTGTCAGTTTGGATCGGGGCATGGGCCGTTTTGTTTGAGGGACATAGGATTTGGCATTGGGATGTGTTACTCAATATGGACCAGAATTAAACATATAATTTAGGTTGTGGGCAAAGCTGAGATAGAAAACTGCGCGGGGGGGGGGGGGGAAGGTTCAAGATAACCCCTCCAATCAAAGAAAGGGCATTGGGACGAACTTGTCAGAGGTGTTCCTTGTAAGTTGCTCTCAATCTTGTTGCGCGGGGGTTGGGTAAACAACAAACAATACTGACATCATGTTTGGTTGCGTTGCCGGCCACGATGCGGGAGGCAAGCAGTTCACGCTTTGCGGATTTCGGCCGTTTCTCGTGTCGTCGTGGTTGGTACGGATTTCGGCAGGAGCTCCTAGACAAGTCCACGGCAGCAGCGCCGGCCTGAGCTCTCCGTTCGGTCTTTTGACCACTCGTTGGCCATTGGCAGTGCCCGTTTGGGCTTAAATGGCCATGGGTCATAACCTATGCCTCCATTTTGGGGTGGATGAACACCCATGTGCCACCTATTTTGATGTTCACCAGGAGTACAGAGTTTTGACCACAGCCAAACAATCACTGTTGACCCCGGATTTATCACCCCGTCCTGCTAATAGTGGGGGTAGAATCCCCTCGACAGGTGATGATTCTCCACCAAACCCAGCGGAATCCACTAGGCATGTAATTCCAGGGCGGGAGGAGGACAAAGAGACTCCGGTGCCTAAAAGCGCCTTCTCCCCATCAAGCTGGCTTTTACAACTCGCCTTTGCGAGTTCTTTCCTCTTCCAGTCCAGATTCGCGCCTCTCCATCCGCGGCCGGAGCGCGCGCCTCTGAGCGCGCGGCTCTGAGGTGTGCGCCAGCGCATTCCGAGATGGGCCGAAGCGTACGGACTGGGCTCCGGAGGACGCCACTCCGACGGCTCAAGGGGCTCGGTTTGGCAAGGGGAAGCCTTATCTAGGTCCCCCAGCTAGGTGCCGTTTTACCTTTGTTTTGTATGTTCTTCCGGGCGCCTTCAGCGGCGACAGTACTCGAGATGTTTGAGGTTGTTCGGTTACCCTTTTTTGGGAGGAGGGTTCCCCTACTAAAATAGACTGCAGAAAAAAGGGTACCCTTATTCTAACCTCTCTACTGGAGGACCTAGTTTTGGTCTTCAGGGTTTCCCAGTTGCCCAGTGTGTTGCTTCCTTTTTTCAACCTTTTGTTTTGGGAAGGGTTGCCCTGAAAAGTCCACCAGCCAAAGAAGGATGCCCCGTTTTTCTCCCATGGCCACTGGGCGTCTGAGGTTTAGTTGGTGATCCATCCAACATGTGTGCCTTGAAGGGGTCCGAACGGACCGTGAGACTGAGATCCGCCATGCAGGTTCCATGTCTCATGTGTTTGTGCCAAACCTCAGATGCGGGCTTTTTTCGGGGGGCTGCAATGGGGAGTCGATTGGCAAGTAAACACCAGGGGTCCGGTTGATTTAACCGGGCTCTTCAGCCGCTAGAAGTCCAAGCTTGTTGCTCCAGCACACACTCTCCTTGGTCTATAGCTGTCTTTTGTGAGATTGTGTTATTTGGGTCACGCAAGGGATGTGAGGCGTGGCAATTCCTTTGCCCTTAAGCACTGGAGGGTTCGACGCCTTTGGTATCGCTTCCATGGGATGTTAGGGGGACATATGAATCAGAGTGTTTCTGCAAAGGAACTTCCCTGTGGTGTCCTTTTGGTTTCCCATGCAAAAAGGTTGAACCCCGATGTTGAGAAGACACCCACCTAAGGAGCCCGGAGCCCGGCTCGGGCTCGGGGAGCCAATAAAACCGATGCTGGGGGATTGGCCATTGGATCTTCCAGCTGCCTGGTCCCTGCCCAGTGGGTTGCTTCCTTTTTTCCCTTTTATTTTGGTAAGGGTTCCGATTCATTGGAACTCAACCAACAAAAAATGGGTGTCCTTTTTTCCATGGAAATCCACTGGGCATCCGAGTGGTTGAACATGTTTTGCTTGTCACATAAAGATAAAGCTGAAGAAGCGAGTTCCTGGACTTTCGTAGCGCTTTGGGTCTGGACAATTTGAGCGGTCCGCAAAAAAAGAAGAAACAAAACAAGCGGGAGACGTGTTCTGGCCAGTTCACTTGGGAAGTGAGACACACACCTCCTGAGCCAAGCAACTTCAACTAGTGGTTCCTATGTGTCAAAAAATCTGGGGGCCCAAGAAACCAAGACGTGGGTTGCCTGCGTGTGTTCCTTCAAACCAACTCCTTTAAACCGTTCAGCCAACCCACGGCTAGCCTCAAAAACACCAGGATCATAGAGCCAGCGAGAAAAACCTGCGCAGGAGCTTGCCAAGCTGCCGGGGCCTGGGAAATACGAAGCCTCCAAGGCGCTGGGGTTACGGCCCGGGCTTGGAGGAGTTGCTTGAAAAGGGGTCCTTTACATGGTTGTTGTTGGGAAACATTTTACATTTTTGCTTATTGTGGTTTAGTGGTTGAAATCCAACCACTTAACTGCTAAAAAAAATGCTCCCCAAACCCAACGTCAACCAAGTTTATTGCTGACCCCATATTCTCAACCCCAGTTTATTCATAGGGGTGGTGGTGTTGTTTTTATTCTTTTTTTTTTTCTGCCCCGGTTTAGTGGGGAATCAGCCCATTTTTAGGGGGGAAAAAGCATTCCCCTGTTATAAAAGGGGGTTGATGAATAGGGGGTCAACATTGCCAGTGGCTTGCCACTCTCGATGGAATTGTGTGTTGCCATTTCTCTGGGTCAGGTCCTTCTTGAGATGGGGGTTTCCCATCCGGAAGACCTGCAAACCGGGCTCCAAATGGAGGTGTTGATGCCCCTGGCATTGAATATGACCCATGTTCTGGGCTTTCCTTCGAAATCCACCTGCCAAAGGTTCCTCTTTTTTTTATACATCCCTGGAAGTCTACTACTTGAAGACTCTTGCATTTGCTTGGGGCAGACCACAGGCTACACAACCGCATTAGAACATCCTTCTGTTGACCCCCGGGCTTCCCCAGAATTAGTTCCCCTTTTTAATTTTGTTGCTTTGTTGGTTTGTTCCCTTTGTTTTCCACTCACCAGGCCAAAAACACTAACAACCATATATATATATATATATCTATATATTTGCTGGGGTCAACTACTTCCAGCCAAGCAGAGAGCCCCTACCCACCCCCGCTGGCTCGCCAGCGCGAGGCAGTGAACGGCTGGCTCACCTCCGCCAAGTCGGCCTTTGAGTCCAGCTCCGAGCGCGGCAAGCTGCAGGCGCGAGGATCAGCCCCATATGACTGCTATTGGGCAACGGATCTTTAGACTTTAAGTTTTTGGTTGAAATCAAGTTGGCGTTTCCACTAAACCCACAAAGAGTGAAACACTTTTTGCAGGGTCAACAGCAACCAAAATATGGGATCAGCCCCACTGTGGGTGTGGGTCAACACCGTTTTGGGATCCCATTTCGGTTGGTACGTGAATTCACCACCCATTTTAGAACGCATAGCCATATGTCCCAACCATCTTGGGGTTCCCTTAATTTTGAGATCAATCTGTTGCGGACTTGGGTCAAAAGGCCGCTTTCATGGATCTTTCCGGCAATTCATGAGCTTCAGGGCCACTTTGTATGGTAATCCCATGAAGTGATGAAGTAGTCAAAATACAGCCCACGCTGTTGTCACAGAAAGGGCCGTGTTCCAGTTGTGGGGGGGATGAAGGCTTGCCACTTGAGGTCTCTTTGCTTGGCCCCGGACTCTCCAGCAGTTCCAAACGGCCACCAACCTCCAAATCCCCTATTTTCTGGACATACCAAATCACTCCCTGGAAGAAGCTGGTGCTTTTTGGAGGGGCATACAACCACTTTTCGTCCCATGTCCCAAGCTCAAAGCGCCCCAGCCGTCAGTTCCCGTCTGCGCCGGGGCCGGCCTACTACAGCCCTCAGCTGCCCAAGATGCAGAAGCCAGCAGCCTCAGTGAACTCATGGCTCTCGAAATTGGTTGGTGCGGTTCGGTGGGTATTCTACGGATTCTAGGGGTTGATTTTCCAAAACGTTGAAGTCTAAAAAATCCAACCCAATAGCAGTCAAGAATAGCCCCATTCTTTTCAACCATGGTTCTTTTCAAAAGCCGACCGCTGTTTCCCCACAGTTTTGGGTGGTTTTGTAGAAAGAAGGATGCCTGGAAAGAATGGGGAAGGTACCCCTACAGCCATGGCTTGTCAAAATCGGGATTTGGACCCCCCCCCCCCCCCGCCAGGTTCCTGTTTGTGTCATGGCAAATCACCAATCATGGTACCCTCAACAAGAGCAAAGACACACACACACACACACCAGATGACCTCCAAGACTATGTCATATTTGGAGTAGCTAGCAGGGAGCTTTCAAAACCAGGTACGCGATAGTCCTTGACAATGTACAGATCCTGAATCTCCGATTCGTGCCTTGTGCAATTTGAGAAGATTGCTCAGCATGTTGGACACGTTTTTTACGCCGCTCGGCTCGTCGCTCGCAAAACCTTCCCAGCTGCTTTCTGCGTTCTTGGTTTCCGAGGTCCTTCCGCCTGAAGTCCGGGGGCTTCGTCCTTTGACAGCTGATCTCAAAAGTCTGCGAGCCGGCTTCATTGTCAAGGCTGTTTGGCAAATGGAGGGTTGAACCCCATGTTTTCTCCCAAGAGTAAAAGATATGGGTATGCCTTTTTTAGGGGACCCCCCTCCCAGCAAAAAAAAGCACGAATTGCTGTTGCATCAAAAAAAACAGCGCGCGCGAAAAACACAAAAAAAAGGGTACCCTTTGAAAGCAGACCCATATTCCTCCGCAACTGTTCCACATTTTCGCCAGGAGATGTGTTTGTCCTGTCCTCAGCCTAAAGCACATCAGCAAACTTGGCCTGGGATGTGGGAAACCTACTGAATTTGGAGTCCACTTTCATCATTTGTCATTCACTTCCAACCAGACTGACTCGAATACTTGGGATCCTATGCCTCAAACTTGCCAGATGGAGCCCCCGTTATCGGAATTCATGCCCGAATTTGGGCTCTGGATCGCACGGTTTCAGTCTCACGCCAAAGCAAGCTTCACCAAAACGGCGGTAGCGCTCACCGCGAAACGGTGCCGGGAACCGGCCGCCCAAGGAGGTGCCTCGAGGCTCGCTCTCCGAGCACAGCGCTGAGGAAAGGTCGCGTCAGCGCTTCGAAACCAACTGCCTGGAGCCTCCTTCCGGAAAAAGAACGTACTGAACATGGGCCCGCCTCTCTGATAGCGTGCCCAAACAAAGACTATGACGCCTTTCTTGTTGAATGACCCCATGTTCAAAAGGTTATGGCTTCAGGTATGGGAAGCCCGGTTTTGCCATTTGGCACGGTTCCGCGTGCCGACTCACCCAGGTACCAGTGGAAAGTGATCTTCGTTGCTAGTGAAACCTTTTCCAGGGAACAACTTTCCATTGAGGGTTGATTGGGTTGAAGCAGTTTAAACTTTTCCGTTTTGGCAAGGGTTGCGCACCACCATTTTGGTCGAGGAAACTCTTAAAGAGTTGTTTCTCTAGGCGAGACTACTCTTTCCCTTTAGTTTCCCTTTTCGCCAAGGTAAGAAGGTCTCCCTCATAGAGAACACGCGCACACACACACACACACCCACACCCCGACACCCAGCCACCCACCCACCCAGCCACCCACCCACCCACCCACGCACGCAGCATGCACCCGCCCACCCACGCACGCACGCACGCACGCACCCACCCACCCACCCACCCGCCCGCCCGCCCGCCCACCCACCCACACACCCACACACCCACACCCACCTCCACACACACACACACCCACACACACACACCCACACACGCACACACACACACACAGACACACACACCCACACACCCACACCCACCCACACCCACCCCACACCCACACCCACACCCACACCCCGCCCGCCCCCCACCCCGCCCGCCCGCCCCCCACGCCGCCCACCCCACCCCACCCCACCCCACCCCACCCCACCCCACCCCACCCCACCCCACCCCACCCCACCCCACCCCACCCCACCCAACCCAACCCAACCCAACCCAACCCAACCCAACCCAACCCAACCCAACCCAACCCAACCCACCCCACCCACACACGCACGCACGGACACATGCACGGACGCACGCACGCACGCAAGGTTGGCATGTATCTTCCAGATTCGTTCCGTATGTAGGACCTTCCATGAAAAAAAGTTGAAGTCAGCTGTCCCGCTCTGTGGCTCAAGGACCGGAATGGACCATGCCAGCGGCCGGATGTGTCGACTCTTTAATCCAACTTGTCAGGACATCTCCCCAAATGACTTTTCATGCCAAACTCGTGCTTCATGAAAAGCGCATTCCGCTCAATCAGACGAACAACGCACTTCACTACGCACATTTTGCGCGCTTCGAACGAGCTCGAACACGTTTTCCCATGCGTGCCTAAGCCCACGGGAAGATGGCAGGTGTCCTCAGTTTCAGCGTGCTGAGCTCACTGCATCTAAAGGAATCCACCTTGGACACCCGCGAAAGGCATTTGCGCCTCAGGTGATTTGTCAAACATGGGTCTTACATTGCTCTTAAGCTAAGTAACCATTGGCAGGGATGTTGCTGTTTATTTTTTTGGAAGCTCATCTCCCGAGTTCCTGGACTCTAAACTTGTTTGAAGATCATTATTGTGGCAAATGAAGAGTTTGGTTACTTTTTTGGCCAGTCCAATCGTTCGGAAGTGAGGACAGAAGCGCTGAGGGAGTTCATGTTTCCTTCAAGGGCACCAGCAAAAGGCAACAGGCAGCTGTTGACCTTGCTTGCGGTTTGGTCCACTCTTCCTTTTTTAAATGCAACCTTACTAGAATCCATATATTCATGTAACAGGCAACTGAAAGCGCCAAAGCATGAGATGGTCCATCGGCTATTCCAGGAAGATCCAAAAGGACACCCCCACTCTGTTTACACATCCCTTAACCCTAACAGGCGTAGCATAAAGAAGGATGGATGTATAAAGAAGGCGTATAAGTTTGTAGAAAAGGTGGGATCCACGCCTAGAGGTGAGAAACTTCCTTAGCAGTGGCAACTGGAGGCGCAAGGCCTGAAATGGACAACCGGAGCCCCTGGCCAAGCAGTGGTTCCCTCACTTTGTGGTTTCCACCGTCCGGTTCCTTAGCTTTTTTGACTTTTAGTTAGCTTGGTGGTTGGGTTTCCATTTAACCCACTAAAGATTAAACTTTTAGCGGGGGATCTGAGGACAGCCCAGCTCAAAGCAAACCAATTTGAGGGGTTCTCTTTTTTGTGGTTTGGGGGCAGGGTGCAGTTTAGAGGGTCACTTTGTAACTTTGGACCCAGTGCAGAAGTAGACATCCAGCCTTTTGGCCGGGCACCCCGCCGTCAGCGTTTTTGAGGCTGGATCTGCAACACCGCAAGACGCCATCCCTGCGCGGAAGTCAGGCGGGGCTAAACCCGCCCCCAAGCGCCGACGGGTTCCACTGGCCCCAGTACCTTATCATCAAAGTCACCTAGCTTGCCGGCTCCCAGGGAATGAGAAAGTGGAATGACCCCAAGACAAACCATGCCCTAGAGTTTCCTTTCCGGGAAGCCCCTTCCGATTCATTCCCAAAGCAAGCTAAGTGGCCAGGCTCTGACTTTGAACCCCCAGCTCGAGTTTTCCCGATGTTTTTTTCAAGCATCACCCGCTGGGCAAACTCAAGCGTTGCCCAAATTGCCAAAACGAATCGACCAGACCTGACCTCTTGGATTTCCCTTCGTCCATTGTGACAGGGTTCTAAAGGTCAACCTAGTTTGTCCTTTTTGGGCAACTGAGTAAAGTGAGGTTCCTTTTGAGGTGATGTTAGGGGACATCGAGATCGGCGACATGGATCATGGCTGGTCTGTTCTAAGCAGTGAGGGCAGACGAGCGGCCATGTGGTCGTCCACCTGAACACGCTGGTTTGCCGCCCCCTTCAGAACCCTGGCGCCGATTCAAAACAAGAATTCTCACGGACTTTGTATTGAAATCCCCTGGCCCCGGCAGGATCTAAGGCCCAGACTGGACCCTAAGATCTGCCAGATTCAGGAGGATAGGTCGAATTTGTTCGAATGTGCGTTAAGGCCGTGACGTGTCCTACAAGTCTTCTTAGGCAAGATCAGGGGCTGAGATGAGATCAGGGGCTGGGAAGAACCCTTGAGACTTTGCTTGCAAAAGGGACCTCAAAAACCACCAAGAAATTCGTAACTTCAGGGGTGATGTTAAGTGCCGATGGACCCAGACATCAAAGGCAAACTGATCGAAATCGTTTAACGGCCGATGGTTGGAGCCCTCAGGCATGTTCGACAAAGACTTTGTCCGATCCGCTGGGAGGTTTGAAGTTTCCCCCTGAACACTTTGGGATCTTTGCCCAGGCTCCGGGGATCGGATAAGCAAATTGGCGGTTTCGGGTTCCAGCAGGGTTCCGGGCCCTGGGATTATACACACACATATATATATATAGATACATGTATATATATATATACATATATATATATATGTGTGTATACAGAGTTTGTTGTTTGTGTGTTCTCCTTTTTTGATTTTAAGGCGGGTGTACCTAAAATCACTTCAGTTTTTTCCCTTCAGGGGACTTTAAAACGGCACCTGCAGCACGTCGCAGACTCGCAGGCCGAGTCGAGCTCCAGGCGCCGTCCCATGCATGGCGGGGACGCCCAGCGAGAGCGAGGCGAGAGCGCGAGGCGAGCGGAGGTGGTTGTAGGTCGGCTAGTTGGGGTTGGGGTTGGTTGGGGTTGGTTGGGGTTGGTTGGGGTTGGTTGGGGTTGGTTGGGGTTGGTGGCCGAGAGCCGGCCGAGACCAGTGGCCCATATCTGACATGGGATGTAGATGGCGAGCCATGGACACAACCAACCAGGGGACCAGTGGGCCTTGCTGAATGCTTTAACCTTGGGTTCACCAGTTTGGGTGATCCTGAGGCTTTGTTGGCAACAAATCCGCCGGTTTGAACATGTTCAGCTAAGCTCTAAGCTCTAACTGGTGGTTGGGGTTGGTGATTTGGCTTGGAAACTGGACTTGAAGATTTGACGCCCTGGTTCTTGTGGGTGCATGGGATGCGCAGTGCAGCAGAATGTAGACTTCCATTTGCGGAAGTGAACATTTGTGTTGCTCCCCCTGTTGGTGCTCAAGGGAATCACTACTGGAGAGATGTCATTTTATCCAAGGGGGCTTAAGCAAAAGGAAAATCCCGGATCTATACAAGTTGAACCCGTCCTATTAATAGGGGGTGGGGGGTGGGGGCCCCTCCAAAAGTGGTTTGCATCCGAATTGGAAGTGTTGTTTTTTAGTTGGTACTCGCTTTGTATGATTTTGAGTGGACGCCATATATAAATGAATAAACTAATGATAAACAAACAAAACCATGTTTGGATGATTTTGAATGGAACAAAAGGAATCCGGCCATTTTCAGGGTTGCTCGATTTTGAGAAAAACCCGGTTCTAGCAGATGGTTCTACCTCTTGGCTCACAGGGGATTAGAGTAAACCCTTTCGCACACCTTCAAAACCACATTGGTAGAGCGCAAAAGTCAACGGGTTTCGGGCGCTGCTCATGTAAGATCCATTCAAACCCCAGTTCCGTGGAATCGGTTCCACCCTCTAAGCCCCTTGCGTTCGGTAGGGTCTCCCTACAATGGCCCGGTTCAATATATATCTTAGCAGAGTCACTGAGCAGCTGCGAAAAGCAAGCTGGGTCCCTCAAAGGATCCGGGGTCAATGAAAAGTTGCCCGCGTACGTACGTAGCTGGCTGGTCTTGGGCAGATTCAAATCCCAGAACTGAATTCGCGATTGGGTGCCATCGAATTGCTTGCCGTCGGGTGATGGCCCGTTCAGACGGGTTTTGGCTTGACAATGATCAAGTCCTACAACCAGTCCCTCCAATCGCGTTTTGCTTGCTCTTCCAAAGATCCTCCAACATACCTTTGAAGCATAGCTTGAACGGTATCCTCATCATTGACTGGATGAACGGACATTCCAGGTACACCCCCAACACACAAAACACAAACACGAGTCTGGGGTGGAGTTGAATACATTCTGCAAAGAGTGGGTGGCAACAATCAACACAGTCACGATGTCCACAGAGGGATCCCTAATTGAACGTCAACTCATCTAACGCACCCTTGTTTCCTAGAATCATGACGGAGGAGTTGACGGCTGCCCTGAAAGCAACCTGGCAAACCTGTCTTCGAACATGTTTCAGGTAATCTTTTTTTTCCAGTAGTCGGGGGGGGGGGTATAAGGGCTTGTCTCAAGATATGGCAACCCCAAACTTGGTGGCATCGCGTTTATTTCAACAATAGGCCCCCATGTCGTCTGTCCGCCTCCATGAAGCCGCGAGGATCTCTTGGATCATTCTACTGGCTTACCTCTTCGTTTTCGCCGAAGGGGCTGGAACCCCAGCGCAGTTCTCCGATGTCTCCCCAACCTTCAGCGATTAAAACCACCCCCCCCCCACTGTTCGCGACCTATTTGACAAAACGTCCTTCGCTCATAGGGGGAGGGGTCTTTGTATCAAGCAAAGTCCCAGACCTTCTGCTGGGTTCCAGAGCCGTGCCTGGAAAACCTCTGCCTTGTAAGACTTCGCCAAAGAGACCTTCATTGAAGAGCATAACCCTGGAGCCTTTGATGCCTGTCTGATTTCCTCCAAAAGAAAAGTCCCCGATGAACAAACCTGGCGAATGAATAGGCGGTACATCTCCCTCCAGAAGTGATGTTGGTCCCATTTTAACTGGGTTGCGCTCCCCGATCAAAATCAACCAGGGCGGTTTTTGTTGGGTTCCCATTAAGTCCTTAACCAGGCCTTGTCGATCAAGCTCTGTTGGGGAAACAAAGGATGGCCGGCACTTTCTTCAAACAAGGAGTGTTAGCTTATTCAGCGCAAGCCAACAGGGGCTCCACTTGATTTCCCCCTTGTAAAGTCTACTAGGCTACGACCTGTTGGATGCAATTTTTTGCAGGGAGCAACTCCAGGTGCGAGTGATGTGTGCCCCCCCCCCCTGGAATCCTTGGGGGGCATTCAGTGGGTCTAATCCCCCGAGACCAGGCAAGTAATTGCAGGTGACCTGGTCTAAGTCTTCGCCGTCCGGTTCCTTGGGTAAATCTTTTTAGTTGGTTCAGGTTGTTATTGCCTCCTACTACTACTACTACTACTACTGCTGCTACTACTACTACTACTACTACAAATGCTACTACTACTGCTACTACTACTACTACTACTACTGCTACTACTACTACTACTACTACTACTACTACTACTACTACTACAAATGCTACTACAAGTTTTCAACTTTAGGGGATCAGTTTGGACAGCCCAGGTTTGTTTTGCTGGTTTGAGCTCGTTTTTGAACCGGGTCTTGAGTGAAACACCGCCCCTTCAGACCGCTGAGGTGGCCATTTTTGCCGGCTACTACGGTCCTGAAATCCTGCCCCGCGCGGTTCCCACGGGGACACTTGGGTGCTTAACACGCCTGGTGAATCCTGGTGACGTGACACACCCACATGGGTGGCTCGTCTTTTTGTGGGGGCCCTCAAAATGGCGGTTCTTCTTTTAGTTTCCCTTCAAAAGCCACAACATTTCGGGGGTGCCTTCGAAAGAAGACACACCCACATAGCGACTTGCGAGCAAATGGGATATACTCTTGGAAGCTAGCATTGTGGGGATCCTGAGCACGGCGGAATGAATCCCCGTGCGAGTAAACCAGCCCCCCCAAAACGGATTCTTGGTACCTAACCAAGCGCTTCAACCCCTTTTACCCCAGAGCGTACCGTGAACAACCTTCCAGGCAATAGCTGACATTCGGCAGAACCAAGTCTGTCGAATGTAGCTCCTTGCAATGTGCCGGACTCTGGAAGCACATGGGAAGCCAAGCTCCCAACCAATCCAAGCCAGGGAAGCTGGTGAATCACCCCGGATCAAACCCATCCTACTCGGGGGGTGTTATTTACAAAAGCGATATCCGGATTCTCGATCAGATTCTGTCTGGTGGCTTCCACGCCTTTCCAAATCAAGCAGCCAAGCAGGTTTCATCAGGTTTCCCCCTGCAACTCCGAGGGTGTGTCTTTGTGGTCGGGCTGGGATCTCTTTGCTACTTTTTGATTGTTGAAGCTTCGCTAATGAACCTCCAACTCGGGGGGGATATTGATATCCCAAGGAGAAAATGCCATTTCGCCGGGCTCAAAAAGGCCCCCCCCCACAACGCCCCTTGGAGGAGCTTCCAAACATATTTTTCTTTGGAGGGCAAAACGCCCAGTCTTGCCCCGTGGGAAACTCTGCGAGCCAGATTTCATTCCAGGCAGTGCTTGTTCGCGGCACCTACGTCGCCAGCCAATGGCTGTTTGTCCCATTGGCCACTTCAGTAGGGGGTCTACCTAGTTTCCAAGGCATGAATCCCACAAAACAAATTAGAACATGAATCAGGTCAATTTGGTTTTTAGGCAATGCTCCAACGGAAATGGGTACATTGAGAATCGAGGCGTGAGCGCCGCGCAGTTTCACCTTTGCAGCATCTACGTTGTGGAGGCCCGGGGGGGGGAGATGGCAGACCCGGAGCATGGTGGAAAATGAAGGCTGTACAGACACTGACTAGTTCAGCCTCAGTTGTTTGAGTGATGGCTAAAACCAAAACCAAAGCTTCCTTGCCTCCCCGGCAGAGTTTTGACCAGTATTCTGAGTAATTAGCATTGGGTGTCGCAGATGCATGGAGCGACCTCCCCATCATATCCCGCAATTCTTGTGAAGGAAGGGTGGGTCTCCGTTGAAGCTCAGATTGTAGCTGAGCTGTTCCTTGGCTAAATCCCGCCTTTGGGATTGGAGCGTCAATTGGTTGTCACTCGCGCGTGTCCCATTTGAGGTGTTTGGAGCGGGGAAGCAGGCAGTTGGCCCCTCCCGGACACCCCTGTCCCCTTCTCGGTATGATGGGCGCCACGTGTATTTTTTGGGGAGGGGGCAGCTATGTCCCCCAGTGCCCTTTCACGAACTTTGTTGGGGGAGGGCTCCCCTACTAAAATAGACAAAACCGAGAAAGAAAAAAAAAAAAGGCGGGTACCCACTTTTTCTAACCTCTCTACTGGAGGACCTGGGCAACTGCTCTGGTTCAGGTGGCCATTGCCCTGGGCCCTGGCTGGTGTGCGATGTCACCTGGCCCGCGCCCCCAGATCTGCTGTCGGGTGTCAGATCGTGTCTGGCAGCTCGGTGAGGTGCGCTGCTTCCCGGCATGCAGGGGCCTGTCCATGAGGACTTGCGGCGAATGTGTGGCGTGGGGAGGCAGTAAATCCCCTGCTTCAAAATTGAACTTGGGAAGAGGGTAGCCATAGTATTCCATTCTGGAATTGTGGACACTCCCACGGAAGGTGAAAAAGCACTTAAAACATAAAAAGCAAGTTTAAAGCAAACACAAACCACATGTATAAACCAACACTCATGCAAAACAAATGTGAAACATGTAAAAATAGAAAGCTCGAGATCAATTGCAAAACCGCTGCCCCAAGGACTCGCCAATGCGCGACTGCCTCTCGGGGGGGGGGGGCCTGGCTGGCCAAGATGTAGAACAAAACAATAAACATGTAATACTTTCACAGCAACGACTGCCTTTCCTCAGACATCCATAAAAAATATGACGCCACCCCAGAAGTTTGGGGCGCAATATCGTATTCTTTCCTACCGCGGGTCACTGAACCATTGGGCGTGAGGCTGGACGTGCGGCGAGCTTATTGCGCACCACGCGCCGTACACCTTCGCAGCGTTTTCCTCAGAGAGATTTCAGAGGCGCCATGTGGCAGTGTTCCCGAGACAGCCATAGTTTCTGGCTTCCTGGGCCCTTTCAAATGAACGTCTGGAGGGTTTTCTCAAAGTTTCATTTTGGGGGGGGGGAAGCTCCCGTTGGAGGATTATGGTAAGAAATGGGGATGCCCCACTTTGACCGACGGCCAGTTGCTTTCCGAATGTACCAGGGGACGGGGGGAGGGCCCAAGCGACGATAATTTGGAAAAGGCAATTCCCGGATCCCAGTGCCTGAAGAGCCTTAGTGCTACGAATAGGCTACTGTACATATATTTCTTCGAGCACGAGGTTGCTCACCGACGTGGGAAGGGAACGGATGCAAGCTTGACCCATGCGCGACTGTGCCGCCATACCTACTGGTGACCACATACCATGGCTAGCTGGGTGTGCCTCCAAATACGTACCAGTTGGCGGGTTTGAACAGTGAGCACCTGCTAGGGCAATCGTAAGTGGAGCTGCACTTGGAGCAGCTCACCTTTAGACGAGCTCATTCATCAAGGTCCCGTAGAAATCCCGCTGGTCACAGGAAGAGGGAGGCTCCATTGAGTTCCGCTTACTTTGAACTTTTCGGTCTTCCATTGTAAACAAAAAGTTTGGTTGCTTGTTTTGGACAGTCCGCTCAGAGGGGAGAACCACCAAAGGCAGTGCCTTGCAGGTGAGAAAGCTTCGCATGCGCTGACTTACGGAAAGCTGGTGAGTTGTTCGACTTTTTGCCGCAGCGAGCCAGGTCACTGGTGGCTTGGTTTAGGAACTGAAAGCGCTGTGAGCGCCGAGTTTTTCCACACATCCTTGAAACAGGTCACACGTATGATGTTGCATAGCTTTGTGTTGGGACATGCAAAGGTTCAGTCAGTACACAAGCAAACAATGACAAGCAAAACAATGACAACCCCAAGCAGGGTAGGCACAAGCTCCAACCCAGATCAAGGTTAGGGAGCAGTTCCCTTTTGATAGAAATTCCTACAAAGTCTGTAAATGCCTAGTTCCAAAAGATAGCCCTCAGTAAATGCAAAATACCCGAAACACGTCAAGAATTCCAAAAGATCCCAACATATCACCATTTCCGGGATGGCACATTCAAAAAGAAAACCTCAATAAATTCAACATTCCCAAAAGACCCGCAGTTGTTTTTACATTTGTTTCGCATCAATTCCCTGCTAGAGAGTGAACGGGTCAGAAGCTATGATTCACATGGCACTGTTTGGCTCACAGAGCTGACCACTTTTTAGGCATGGCAGCGGGCCGGGGGCAACACCTTGGCTCGGCACGGGTCAGAGATCCCTGGCCCCCTAGAAACCCTTCACTCAGTTGCCCAAAGCGAACCGACCGGATGCCACCTTTTGGTTTCCCCGGTCGAAAATTCAGTCATGGCCCTAAAAGCTGAACCTTTCCTTTCAAAATCCCGGAGCAAGTGAGTCTAGGTGCAGGGGCCCGTAACCTGAAAGGAGGGATACCCGTTAAAACGTCACACCACCTGATTCAGAGCGTCCACTTGCACAGGTCACGGCGGTTTGTTTATTGGTATCCTTCAAGGAATCCTGAGGCCATTTATTTCGTTTCAGTTTTCGTTTGCGGCAAACCCTTCCCGGAAGAATCGACTTGACCTTTTGGTTTCGCCGAAACGTTTCAACCTGCGCTCAGGTCATGCTGTGCTTTGCGCTGAATCAACAACATGTTTGGATTCTGCCACTCTGCGTCGCTTGGCGGTTTCATTGGAGCCTCTTCCAAGATCTGCGCAGTGCATGAGCTGAGTTCACGTGAGGATCATGATGAAGGGCCTGTTTTGGAATCCTGATCTTGTTGCTATCGGATTGTCATAATTTGTGCAGAGATCATGGTTGTTGATTGCAATGTATTTGTTCTCGTGGCAACGTCAGATATCAGGAATCCTAGGGAGGCTCAATAGAACTGCTTGCTGACAAGGGAAAGCACAGAGCACGAAGCAAGTAGCCTCTCAAGAAATCCTTTTGTGCGCTTCCATGTTTCTTTGTGTTTTGGGTGTTCGGTTTCAGTCAATGTGGCTCAGTCAAGTTGAAGAGCTCCAAACGATAGCCCAAATGGATATTTGCCGGCAAGGAAGCTCCGAAGGTGCCTGGCCGGATTGAGCCTTCAGAAGGGACTTGGGCGTTCAGAGGCCCGGATTCGTTGCTTGTAAATGGGGGTGTGAACCTAACCCAATATCAAACCAAACCGAGGCAGCCAAGTATTCAGACCCCAATGAAGGTGCGGGGCTTTTTGGAGGTTGTAGCATCCCTTTGCAGTTGAATACAGCATGTGGTTTGTCCAATTTTGTGGGGAACCTCTTTTCGTTGGTGGAGAAATACCCAAAAGGAATCCAAATTGTTGTGGGCATCCCTTTGAGACAAACCCATATGTTATTGATAAACAACTCCGCGACTTGGGAAGCGGCAACACCCACATAGTCTACATTAATTAGCAAAAACCTGGGTTGTCTCACAAAACCCTTGTCTGAAGTTTTGAATTGGAATGGTGGCCTCTTGAAAAAGGGTCCTTTTGCGAGAAAAGGGGAGGGCCGAGGAGTTGTGTTGTGACTTTTGTTTAGTGAACATCGAAAGGTCCCGTTCTGCATTGTTTGTTTTGAACATTTAACAAGATAGTGTCCCGAATGAGGACACCCGGGAAGAACACAAAACGCACAGTCATCAACCTTACCCATCGGTTATTTGGATTGGTGTTGCTTTCTCTGCATTCGGCTGGGCAGATGAGAGCGAGCTCACCTCGGTAAAACGAGCTCGCTTACGATGAAGACCCCTTGCCTGGAGATTATTTCCTCCAACTTGTAAACATATTGTAATTTGCCAAGACGTTCCCACAGAATCCACAAAGGTCCACCAAAGGAAGAGTGCCTTGGGATGCCAGTTGCTTGTTGTTGTGTTTTTTGTTCTTCCCGTTTTTGTTTGGCTAAAGGTCCTGTGACAATGGCATTGTTTGGGGTGCTCCTTGTAAGTCGGCTTGAGGAGAAGCCACTCGAAGCCCTATTTGACACATACCCATCTAGAGGAAGGTGTGGCGCATTCTGCGGACGCTTTCGTGCTTTCCGAGGTTGTCCTCCTCACGCCCCTGAATGAGGGTCTCTTCATCATCAACAGCCTCGGAGCTCCAGGCGTGTGGATGCCGCCATCTTTGAGAGGTTCAGCGGCCTCCAAATAGGTGTGGCTCAAAGAGCTCGGGTTGCGCAGGTTTTAGTCTTTGGTGCCATTCACCCGGGTGCAATTTGGGTACATTTTATTGAGCCACTGCCAAATCGTTTTATTGTTTTATTATTTTCTTTCTTTTTTTGGGTTCCATTAGGTTGGTCCCATCCAAGTTCCCTTATGGGAACCATGGCTGCAAACACTGCCAGCTTGTTTCAATTGGCACCTTGCTTTGGCCAACTGTCTTCCCGAGCTCCTGGACTTCATATGTGGAACGCTCCAAAAGTTGTCTTTTGGCCATTCAGGATGTGAGACCGCGACCAGTCAACTCTTGGTGGCAGCAACTTGCCCAAGCTCCCCATGTTCGCTTGGGGCTGAAGGCGGTTTTGAGTTCTAGGGTGGGCTACATGGAAAACATATTCTGACCATATGATTTTCTGTGTACCCCTGATGAAGGCCAAGATTCGGATGAAACTTTTCATCCTCCGACCTTAACGGACACCTTATGACTACGGCTGGGGTTAGGCATCAAGATCCAAAGCCATCCCAACAAACACTTGGCCTTTGGGAGCTCTCACTGGCTTGGTCCTTGCAACGCGCACTTGAGCCTGTTTTCTCACTTCCCAAGCTTTTCCAAGTGCTGTTATAATTCATTTCACGCATTGGCACAAGCTGGACCCCACTATGCTATCAATTTTTCAGGGCCAAAAAAGGGTGTGCAAACACGTGCCAGGGACGAATTGTCCATTGGAAGGATATTCCGCCAAGAAACTAAGTGAGAGCCTCACCAGCCCGCGGAACCCTTAAACCCTGGAAGCACTCCAGAGCCTGCTGCACGCACGTGACACGCACGTGACACGCCGCACACTTGATGAATGGCTGAAAGCTTGAGGTCTTGGAATCGGAGTTGCTTTTGGGGATTCCACCTTCTCAGTTGTCCAAAATGACCTTTGCTTTCCCCTTGTCTACCTTCGTGGCCCCAAAGGTTCACCTTCCATTTCTGGGTCCTTGGGCAACTGAGCTTTTGTTTTGGACCAACAAGTTTTCCCTTCAGACACCAAACTGACACATACACACACACACACACACCAGAGTGCTTGGTCAGCTTTCCGGAAGGGACCCCAAATCAACGGTGTTGGCTCAGAAGGTTTGAAAGGTAAAGTTCCAGGTGCGAATCTTGCCTGAACAGGAGAGCGAACCTGAAAGTTGACGGCTATTTGGCTTGTCCCATGTGGACAGTCAGCGGGAGCAGACCCCTGCCCAGTCAGTAGTGGACCCTTCCCTGTGCATGCTCAAAAAGGTGCAAGCATATATATATATATAAACACATTGCTCTTGGGATGGAACTTGGTTTTGCGCATGTCAGGTCCTACTCTTCCCACTGTCCCTGCCTTTGGCCTTTTCAGCTTGTTTCTCAAACCACATTTCGATCGCCAACAAACAAATCGGGCTTTGTTTGGGCCACCCCACTCAGAAAGACTATCACGTCCGTACCAGAGCTCCTTGGTAGCTCCTTAGCTCCCTCTTGTTTTGAAAATTCGGATATTACTAGTTTCCCGGCCTTCCCTAAACCCTAAACCCTAAACCCTAAACCCTAACCAGCACCACCAAAAGTGAGCCTTGTTTCAACGGACATCGCCAGGTTGGGTCTCGAAAGCGGGCTTCCCAGACGCTTCTCAGGTCGCCCTTAGTTTCGGGGTGGTCTTCGGCCCCACTTCGAAGCCAAATGGATGCTGACGCGAAACTCAGTTGTCCAAAGCCGACCTTTTGACCTTTTGGTTTTCTCATTTTGGTCCATTTTTAGTAGAGGTGCCAAAAGGGTAACCTTTTAGTTCTGGGTCCTTTGGGCCACTGAGGAAACTGAATGGAACCCCTAGCTCCGCTTTTCGGGTTTGCCCATTTGCCGGTAGCCCCTGATGGGTTTGGAGTGGTTTGGCTCAGTTTGGCTTGGGGCTTGGAGCTGAAGCCAGCAAAGAGAGGCAATGGGAAACCCCGGACCACCTCTAATCCAATTTCTGGGGGTACGTTAATGCCAACCCAACCCAATGGAGAACAATGCGGGGGGGGGGGGCGTTGGCTTCCGGGTCAGGGCCTGAATAAAGGACAACTGGGCGTATGTGATCTCAAAGTTTGGTTGAGATGACAGGATCATCTTTGTGATTCTTTGGCCCGCATGTTCCTTCAGTGGCCTGGAAGTACTGTTTCCTTTTCCGTGAATGAAATCTGGTTTTGGCGGGAACCCCGTTGGGATGGTTAAGCGAAAACCCCGAAACCTCAAAGGGCAGGACTCTCCGCTCTGAGCTTGCGCCTGACTGGGCCCTCCAATGGGAAGAATCTTGAGGGCTTATGGGGGGTCCTATGTTTCCCCTTGTGGTTTGCAACATCACCTGGGGCCGTTTCTTTGGGGGGAGTTGTCCAAGTTGTCCTTTGATTTTTTCTCCCGGGTTGTTGGTGGGGACGTGCGGCAAGCCAGCCCATCCCTCTCTGCGGATTTATATTGAGCTTACCCAAAAACGTGCACCCCTGATTCATCACCCACCTGAAAAGCAACATGGTGAATCGAGTGGCAACACTTATCCACACCGGTCCTTTGTGAGGCGTTCACTTTTGTGAAGTCTGGGCATCATAGTAGTTTCTCTAGAAGGGGAGGCAACATTTGTTTAAAGACAACCCTTGTTCCCTGTATGTTGACCAAACACATGCTGTGCATTTGTCTGGCCAATGCTGTTCGAAGACTTGGCCCTAACCTGTGCCCAGTGCCCAGCCGGAAATAGGATTCCGATTTCCTTGAGGCCTTATGTGGCCGGAAACTAAGAGAATCTGGCTGGAACTGCTCAATCATCATGAGTCATCATGAGGATAATTCGTGGGCTTCCAGTCCCATCGATTTGCTCCCTGGTCCCAAACATGCTTGACGACTTGTTTTGTTGTTGGGGGCACCTTGAGCCATTTGAAGTTGAATCATGGACCTCCCCTTAAAAGCAGTGGGCCATCACCTTCGAAGCCCCTTGGCTTACCCAGGCTTCTTGTCCCCTCACAGCCCCCGTGCGGCCCGGGCGAGATTATTAGGCGGCTTGGGATCACCAACTCAGAGAAGGTCAGGAAAATGCAAGGGTTTACAAGGTTGATTCGCTTTGGGAAAGCATGGCAAACTCATCCCAAGAACGTTGAAATATGGTAGCCTAATCCCCCCACCCACTTAGGGGCACCCACACAGGACAGTCCTTTGTAAGGCCTTCGTGGTAGCTCCCCAAAGAAATCATGCAGAGGCCTTGCCAAATCAATCCATTGGGGCGTTCCCTTTTTTCAGGGCGATCGAGTTTGCGAGGGCAGGCACCGAAAAGTCATTCAAAGGATACAACTCAAACCGAAAGCCATGCAGGAGTCGTGGCCAAGAAACTGCTGTTAAGGAACATACGGGGTCACGTGTTTTCCAAGAATGGATTCAAAACTCTTTGGTTCTATTGTTGGTTTCCGAACGTTAACATTTGTTCACATCAAAATCGTGCACTGGAATTCCCAAATGGGACCTCACGGACCCCTGGTTCAATTTCGTTTCCGCGCCTCGCTGAGGTTCGACGCGCCTATGGGTTCCTGGTCATTGTACCTCGGACTCGGGTTCAGCCGCTTTGACGTTTTCATCCCTTCATGGACCCAAAAAGGTGGTTTCATTTTGGGACAAGCATGTAGGGGCCAAGATCAGCCACCTTTCGTTGCCGGAGTCACTGCAGGCCGTTTTGCCTTTGTTGAGTAGTTGCGTTCAACCACCGGCAATCAACACAGATAGCCTCCTGAATCATGGACACCAGCCCCAGAATGCCAGAATCAGAAACCCAGCAAAACAGGGATTCGGCTGCTCTCCGTGTTCACATGCTTTCGCTTGTCCGGCACGGACCACTCAAGCTTTTAGTTTGCCCTTTTCATAGGGGGAACGCCCCCTCAACAGTGGTCTGACCTCTCGATCAAAAGGAGCCAGTTCTGCTTAATCCGGAGTTCCCATATTGTTGCTTCAGTCCGGGAGAAGCTCCAGAATCCTCAAAGTTTGTGTCCGAAGTGGTAGGGTGACGTGGGTGACTGCGCAGAAAAGTCGAATCTCCGAGATCGCGGCAGGATACATTGGGAAGCCACCCCATACCTGACCTCCACCAGGTCACACATCTGAAGCATACGTCAGTGGCTAGCGGCTAGCAGCCAATTGGTAAGTGGCGCGTTGCACAAAAGGAACCCGCTGACCTCTAGCCAGCTTGCCAACCACCAAGTACCCTACAGAACCCTTCGCGCACGGTGCCTACAAATCAATACAGAGGCTCATTTCCATACATGTAATCCGCTTGTTAGTGTTGAAGGCTGTAGTTTTGGCCGGGCCGGTCAGCTCTGCAAGTAGCACAACATATCAGGTGACCGATTGGAGTTGGACCAGCCGCCGCTGGGTACTTGCGTCCTTTGGGGCAAGAATGCAAGCCTTGCATCAAGGTGCTGCTGATCATGTCCGAGATCAAGACCTGGATGGAAGCCCGAACCTCGCGAGACGGGAATGCCCAAAAAGGAACCCTGGGAACCTGGTAAACTGAAAGGGCTGAAACCTGCATTCCTTAGGGTTCGTTTGGACCCATGCGCATGTAGATCTTTGTTTGCCATGTATCGTAGGGACCCTTCCTCAAACTCAGCTCAAACGGGCTGTTCCCGGATATGGGTGTGTCTGTTTTGAAGGTACCCTTTGTCTGGCAGTTTGTAAAGGGACACCAAGGGAAAACCACCATTTTCGGGAGCCCCCCAAACAAGGAAGCACCCAAATGACCCTATCTAAAGTCTGTGGGAGGAAAACAGGGTAAAGTTTCAGGGAAAAAGATGCATATGAAACCTGATGGAAAAGTCGGCTGAATTTGGCACAAAGGGCCAAGATCAGACATGTGTCGTCTTCGGAGTCTTTGCCGACCGTTTTCCCTTTCATAATTAGTTTTTTTTAGCCACTGGCGAGCAAAGCCGATACCCTCCGGACTGTTAAAAAGCCCCAGGAAAATCTATAGGAAAACAGCTAGACAACCATGATCCCATCCTGTCAGAGGCTTCATTCTTCAATGGCCCGAAGACTGCTTACGGTGCTTGGTTTTGGGCTTGGGAATGGATGGGGTGCGGGCATCGGTAATTGCATGCGCCACCTTCGCTTGGAATGCTATCCGATGCCCTCTGGGACTTGCTCCTTGCGCTGCCTTGGGTTGTGTTGAAGTTTCCGGACAAATGTTTGATGACGACTTGGTTTCATGTTTGCACTTCACTCAAATGGGTATGGGTCAAATTGAGACCAGCAGAACACCGCACGTTTTAGTCTTTGGTTCGATTTACCAGGGTCCCATGTTGGGCACTTTTTTTTGACCCACAGCCAACTGATGGACAAAGCGAAGAACCTGCAAATTCACATTGACCAAACCGAGGGGGTGCTCCAAATGGAGATTCCTTTAGACTTCACTCCAGGGTTGAACAGTGACTAGATGGCCGGGTGAGCAAAGAGATGCTGAAGCGAAACTGAATGGAACCTCTTTTCCTTTTGGGCTCGAGGCAACATCTGACTGGGGGTTTTGGACTGGCGGTTTGGATTTGGATTACGCCTGGCTCCGGAGGGTGAATAGGAAACCACCCCCAGAAGGCCTCCGACTGGGCTCCACGCGTCCACAAACAAGGGACGCTGATTTAATGGACGACCCTCAGACATGGTTTGTTGACACAAATCAATTCTTTTGATGATGTCCACCAATTGCTCCCCTATTCGCCCCCAAAACACAATGTGGACGATTTCTCGGACCAGAACGATCTTATTTTTTGAAAAACATGTTGAGACAGGTGGTGCTTTAGTTGTTTGCCTCCTTGGGGACTCAGGTGGTGCTTTACTTGTGTGCCTTCTTTTGCCTCCGTTCACCTCCTTTCCCTTGTCCAAAGCCGACAAGACTCCTCCCCCGCCGCGAACCAGAAGGGAATTTACCAAAGCGGTCTCACAAAAAGGAGACGAGAATTGGTTGATCCAGCAGCTGCCCCCAAATAGAATCAACACCCACACCCCCCCAAAAAAGAATACTGGAGAGACCGCTCCTAGTTAAAATGTATTAGTATGTTTGTCTTCATGAAACCGCCATGGTCAAGCTGCCATGCCTGCCTTTAACTTTTTTGGAAAACCATGGTAGAGTCGCCCCCAACGGCCAGGGTGCCCTGGTATATGTAGACACCCTTTGAAGCAGGAAGTGGCAAAGACGTATCCTAGGAACCCTGATTGCGAAAACCACATTGAAAGAGCTGACTTGGCGTGCACGGGTCCCCAAAAAGATGGGGACACCTAGTAACCCTTATGGCCGTATGGCGGGCTTTTGGCAACTATTGTGACCCTGGCACATTTGCAAAAGCCATGTCGCATGTCATTCAGGTCATGCACAAGCACTGGGCCGGGGACCCAAAAGCATTCGACTTTGCGCGGTAAAGGGCAGTGGCGGCTCCGCTCCTCGGTTGCTTTGGACTCAACGCGTTTTTTGTTTTGTTCTCCGGGGGGGGTCATTCTTACATGTCGGAGCGTGGGCTCAGTTTTTGTTGGTTTGGCTGAAATGGCCCCAAGCCTCTCGCTGCTTTGTTAGTTCGACTTGACCTGTCGAAGCGCGGGCTCAGTTTGCTGACATACCGAGGGTTGGGAACTAAGCTTGCGGCGCAAATTGGCTGTGGCTCAAAACCAATGGTACCATTTTAGGGTAGGTGCACCACCCATTCTAGAACCATTTTTAGTGGTTGGATTGGGATGTTCACTGGGGGCTAACCAGGGTTTCGACCCATGGCCAATTAGGTGCAAGACAAAGAGCCAGAGCGCTGCTGAGGTCTTTTTCAGTAATGTTGACCCAGGATTAAAAAACCCGTCCCATTATTAGGGGGGAAAGTGGTCTGAATTCCCACTAAAAGTGGACACCCCCCTATGAATCAAGCAGGGGTTTATTAATCCGGGGTTGACATTATAATTTTGCATTTTAGGGTTCCCTGAAGAAGCATCAAACAGTGGCGCAATAACAATGGCAGGTTGAACCTACCACCAACAAGCATGCCTTGATGCACAGCCCCCCTAAACACATGGGGTCAGCGTGGCTCGGCGCACGCGCACGAGCGCATTAAACACGAAATGACAATTGTACCCTCCCCCAGATTAACATGGAAGCTCCCAGGACTCCTTTGGAAGACTTGGTTCCATTTACAGGATCGCCCTTCTGGGAGCTTCCGGCTGTTCGTGTGAGGGAGTGTACACTTCCATGGCTTGGGAGGGTGAGCGTTGGACCATCACAACTTTTCCCCGAAGACTTCCGTTGAGGGAACCCGTTGGTAAGTCCATCAAGTGAGTCCGCAAGTACCGAAAATGAACCTTTCAGTTACCGTGCCCAAACGGATTGATCAGCATCCCAGGTTGCTTTGGCCGGGCTTTAGCCTTATGCCAGTGGTCCACAGGTTGCGGCTGGGGAACCACGAAGCTCTCTGGACCCTGCATTTTGAAGCTCCCAGATGGCTATGAACTTTCATAGCGCACCACGAGAACAAGTGGCGGTTGCCTGGATCGAATTCTCATGTCCATCACTTCGGGTCAATGAAGCTACCCAGATAGCGGATGTTCCAAACCAAAGTTTGGCATCAGGTTCCGGGCAGATGTGCTTTCTTTAGAGGACCCCCCGGGATGGCTTTGTTTCTTCTTTTTCTTTTTTCGTTTGGCTTCCCTTTAAACGCCACAACATTCGGGGGTACCCCTAAAAAAGGGGGACAGATCCGTGTAGTCCTCCATTGTGGGTATATGGTGGAGCACGTACTCCAGGGGCACATTTCACATTTGCCATGGTCCATGGTCAAAATAATTTTCTTGGGGTCACATGTATGGTAATCCCGGTAGTGAAGATTCTTAACCGACTGAGTCCAACCGCTTGCCCCGCTTTGGTGTTAGCTGTGGGATCTCACCAGTTGACATGTGGGTGTGGCGCAAAAGTAAAGAGCTAGGGTTATGTTTTTTTTAGCCTTTGGTTCCATTTGCCATTGTTACCTGCTTTTTAGCCGCAGCCGCATTGAGGAAAGTGTGTGTGTGTGTGAGTGTTTGTGTGTGTGTGTGTGAACCGTCCTGGAGCACGGACGCAAAACTTTAAGCAGCAGGGGGACTGGAGCCGATTTGCCTATCCAGTCCAATGAAGCTACGGCATTTCGGTGGATACCGGATCTGATCAATCCGGCGTACCTGCCTATTTCCTGACCCTCTTTCCTGATTCCTTTTGCGGTTTCTGTTTGTCGCTGTTGCTTCCTGTTCGGTGTCGATGTTGTGACCTGTTGATTTGCATTTGCATTCAAGCATTTTTACTGACTGCGTTTTTCATCTCGGCTAGTGAAGCCTCTCGAGATAAGTGTGTGTGTGTGTGTGTGTGTGTGTGTGTGTGTGTGTGTGTGTGTGTGTGTGTGTGTGTGTGTGTGTGTGTGTGTGTGTGTGTGTGTGTGTGTGTGTGTGTTTGTGTGTTTGTGTGTTTGTGTGTTTGTTTGTTTGTTTGTTTGTTTGTTTGTTTGTTTGTTTGTTTGTTTGTTTGTTTGTTTGTTTGTTTGTTTGTGTGTCTGTCTGTCTGTCTGTCTGTCTGTCTGTCTGTTTGTTTGTTTGTTTGTTTGTTTGTTTGTTTGTTTGTTTTCCCTGTGGGTTCCTCAGTTCAGGTTGGTGTCACGTTAGACAGGCAGCATGTGAGGCAACCGCTGCTTTGTTGCCCCTGCCGAGCGACCCCATGACTGAGCTGCTGAAACGGGGGAATTCGGTGTAGATGCGTTGTTGCTTTCACATCCAATGCCAAACTTGTTGCGTGGTTCTTCGTACTTCAACTTGTAACTGTTTGTTATTTCTTGTTATGTTGTTTCTTTGCTTTTTGTTTGGTGTATTTGTTCAATATGTTATTCAGACGCGTATTCGCTTACGTATCCATGTCTTAGCGGGTCTAGAAGTTTATGGAGGACATGGGGGACCACCCATAGCCACAAGCAGCAAGGGGGCCCAAGTAGTAGTATTGTTCCAATGAATGCATTTCTTCGCCTTCCTTCATCACGTCAGCTCCAGTCTCTCTTCGTTCGTTAACTCTCCAAAGTGGACCAGCGGGTAGCGGCAGGAAAGGGAGACAAAGATTCACACAAGAGATTTTCAAAGTCACCCATTTCTCTATCTTAGAAGCTTGGCAATGGACAATGATATTAAACAGAAAAAACAAGCAAAGTTTAAAACAAATACATAATTGTCCTTCCTTGGTTCATTCCTTCACTCACGGATTTCACCTTCTCCTTTTCTCTTTCATGCTTCTCTTACCAGCTTTCCGATGGCTGGAGAAACATTAGAAGGAAGAATGAGGGAAGGCAGGGCCTCTCTTTCTTCCATGTGTTTCATAATTCGCTTCACCTCTCCCTGCTGGTTCTAAAGCGAATCTATTACTACTGGAAATATATTTGTCAGGGCACTTAGGCAAGCAGAGCTTGGGTTTGTGTGTCTTTCTTTTATGTGAGGGCACTTCTTGTTTGTTGGTTGGTTTGAAGGGACACCAAAGAGCAAACCAAAGTTCGTTTTGGGGGTCGGACCCCCACATCCAGACAGGTGGACAATTCGCTGATCATGCTGATGTTGGACCAATGTGCCCGGAGCTTGGCTCTGGTCACTGCTCTCAGGGCCTCCCGAAATTTCTTCGTGGTTCAAAGTGACACGAACGGATTTCGCCCATCCACAGCACCATCTTTGCTTACAGGCCAGAATCTCAGAGAGGTCTTTTGGTTGGCTGCCGAAGAATCCACGGCTGCTTTGTGATCCCAGTCGTTGCCTCAGAACCTCCTAGCCCGTTGCAACAAATCACTCCCGTACCTGGACTTGGCTTTTTGCGAATACTATGTTAGAGGTAAGCGAACAGTGTTTGCACTTTCATTGGCCAATCCGCTCTTTTGTGAGTTGAAGGATGAGAGGACTTCAAGCAAACACTCCTCAAACAGATTTGGTTCGGCAAATTGCAGGATGACCAAAGGCACGCTTGAATTCCTAATCTACAGGTTGATTCCACTTCCCATTAACTTTCGCCATCGGTTTTGTCAAACCTGCCGTTTTTCTCTGATGTTTAATTAGGGCCTTTCTGGAAAGAAGGGTCCCTGTAAGGATCGGGGCTTAACCCCACGCCTACTGTATTCACAGCTACCGCAAGGATCACACGTTGACTGAGAAGTCCTCATGCACATGTTTCTTCAAGTTATTTTGTTCTCACACCGGTATTTGTCCCAAAGGATGTCGCAGGGGAATTGGTATTTGTTCAGTAGTTTTAGACCCTCTAGGTACCACCCGGCAAGAAACCCTAGGTGACGGTGCGGACGCCCGATTGGCCACGATTAGGGATTCCTTGTGGGCAAGCCTGACGGGGGTTTACGTAATTGTGTCATGACGTGGGTGCTGTTGGGTTGGATCTTGAACCCTTAACTTTTAGGGATAGCTGTATTTTCCCACCAACTCGCTAAAGAAAGGCCGAACTTTTTCGGCAGCTGGCAAGATCCAGCAGAATGTCACATCGTTGTGTTTTTTTCTCCTGACCTTGCGACCACGGACCGGCTCCGAGCCCTCAAGACGAAGCAAGGGCTGAAAATAGGTTTGGTTTCCTTCAGCTCCCCTCCGACACATTTGCAAGTCCTTTGGAGATCCCAGTCGTCGGGTCTCGACGAGCAAACGCGCCCAAACAATGCCTTAAGATGGGCTAAGCCAAGAGAATTGTGCGCTTTAGGGAAAATACTCTTTGCGTTGTACCCCGAATAACCCCCCCCCCCCTTTTTCACCCAAGCCGTTCTTTTGCAGAGTATCTTTCATTTCATGATTTCATGTTTGGATCTTCCAAAAGTAGCAGTTTGAATGGAAAACGCCAGTCGATCAACTTTTGAGTGGAAATTGCAGTGAGGTCTTCCCTGCCATCTACTACCACTTCAATTTGCCCGGCGCTCGGATTTTAGACAATGCGCAAGGCCAAGCGGTTTTGCGCCTTGTTGATCGTAACCTAAGAAGGGGCATTAAGTGATTTGGGGCTTGGATGACTTTGATCCGTCGCGTATTGGCTAGAGAACTGGCCGGTTCGCTTGCACATGAAAACGAATGCACCGCGCGGTGCCTGGGCTTTTCTTTTGACTGTTGTTTGGGGCGCCCTGGTTACCCTTTGTGGCTCTTGGTCCCCATACTCCATATTGGCAGCGAGAGCCTGAGGGCCTGGCATGGTGCGCCAGCGGCGTGATGGCAAGCCTTCGGAGCCGCTCCCGCGGGCGGAGAGGAAGATGGGCCTGCAGAAGATGCACATGCCCAAGGTGGCGATCAGGGAGGCCAGAGTTGGGAGCTGGTGTTGGTGGTTCCGGAGGTATGTCAGGATCTTCCTCAAACTCGTCTTCTTCTTCACCGCCCTCCGGGTCTCCATCAGGTTCAGGATCTGGATCTTGCCCCGGGAGACCACCACCTCGTCCACCTTGTCGCTCCTCTCTGTCCGCTCCCGCATCTCCCGGGACGAAGGTCCAGGTTCCCGCGGCGCCTTTACCACACACACTGATGCCATAAGGCTGTTTATTCCAGCCACTTAAGGCGGGACTTTGGACCTTCACAAGAGGAGCGTCATGAGGTTGTCGAGCAAGAGCACGAAAGAGTCCAGGGTTCCTTGAAGTCGTAGTGAAATGTAAAAAGGTTGGAGTTTCGTCAGCTTACCTTCCCGATCTGTTCGCTCGCCGCGGCTACTCGTCAGTGCCCATGACTACCGCGACGAGGTACTAAGCCGGTTTGCTGGCATGGGCAGACTCCATGAAGTAGAAAACAGAAATAGTTTACTGCCGAAACAGACCCTTTCCGGACGTCAGGGTTTACACACACACGCCCCCTCTCGGGGGCCAAAAAGCCACAATTCTCGGGGGCCGCAAGAACAGTCCGCAGCAGGCTCGTTTTTGTACCAACAGCTGAAAGACACTAGGAAAATCTACAAGAAGGTTCATTGTGGTCGTTGAGGACAAGGTGAAGCGAGACCGTGAACGAGGCCTGGATTGCGCTGAAGGGGAGGATGTTGTCCCTAGCTCGAAGGTCCCCGGCTGGAAAACGTGCAAAACCGGCTCGTTCTTGGTGTTGCTGTGCCTGAAAAACCGGCTCGTTTTTGGTGTCGCTGCGCCTGAAAAACTGGCTCGTTCTTGGTGTCGCTGTGCCTGAAAAACCGGCTCGTTCTTGGTGTCGCTGTGCCTGAAAAACCGGCTCGTTCTTGGTGTCGCTGTACCTGAAAAAACCGGCTCGTTCTTGGTGTCGCTGTGCCTGCAAAAAACGGCTCGTTCTTGGTGTCGCTGTGCCTGAAAAACCGGCTCGTTCTTGGTGTCGCTGTGCCTGAAAAACACAAAGCCGGTGCGCAGGCCGCGTACTTGTCATACTGTGCAGAACAGAGATGGGAAAGTCACTGTCGAGGAGAAGGTGTTCGTGACGCCGGAGTGTCTGGTGTGTGAAGGGCCAAGCCATGGCGTCGATGAAGAGGGCAGGTAGCGAGACCCGGTTGAACAAAATTAATGAAGTCAGTGCGTTTAGTAGTTTCAGCCAACAGCAAAACAAGGACGAACCAAAAGCAACAAAAACAAAAGGCAAAAGGGGGCACTTGTTTTGCGTACATGAAATCGGTGCTCGAGTTTCTGGGTCTCACTTAGGAGAAGTTCACGCGGAAGGCCTGCTCGCAAGTGCTGTGCCTGGAGCTGCTAGATGGTGTCCTGGATGGCGCTGCGGGGTCTTGTGAAGCGAAATGCTAAAAGGGCACGTGCCCGGAATCCTGACAAAACCGTTGTTGAAGAGCAGGCCGAGCCAGTAGAGCGAAAACTGTCCGTCTCGGTGGGAGCCTTCATGAAAATGGAATGATTGGAGCGGTTGATGCGGAAACCCATCACGTCCTGCGATGTGGTGCACGAAGCGGTTGTCAACGTAGCGCAAGTCCGTGACAACTGAAACTTGAGGTTGTCGGATGCAGCAGTGTTCGTAGAAAGAGACCTCCCATAGTGCCGCCACTGCTCCACACAAAGCCGGTGCGCAGGGGTCGCCCAGATGCACCGCGCGCTTGTCGTACTGTGGTCACGCCCACCTGGGCGAGAGATGCGCGGAGGACCAGGCGCACCAACTCTGGCACGTGGGAGAGGTGGAAGACGCGTGAAGATGTTTGACGCCGCCAGAAGTTTCGGCTGCACCTGGACCGGCTCGTTCTTGGTGTTGCTGTGCCTGAAAAACCGGCTCGTTCTTGGTGTCGCTGTGCCTGAAAAACCGGCTCGTTCTTGGTGTCGCTGTGCCTGAAAAACCGGCTCGTTCTTGGTGTCGCTGTGCCTGAAAAACCGGCTCGTTCTGGTGTAGCTTTGCCTGAAAAACCGGCTCGTTCTTGCTGAAAAAGCCGGCTCGTTCTTGGTGTCCCGGAAAAACCGGCTCGTTCTTGGTGTCGCTGTGCCTGAAAAACCGGCTCGTTCTTGGTGTCGCTGTGCCTGAAAACCGGCTCGTTCTTGGTGTCGCTGTGCCTGAAAAACCGGCTCGTTCTTGGTGTCGCTGTGCCTGAAAAACCGGCTCGTTCTTGGTGTCGCTGTTCCTGAAAAACCGGCTCGTTCTTGGTGTCGCTGTGCCTGCAAAAAACCGGCTCGTTCTTGGTGTCGCTGTGCCTGAAAAAACCGGCTCGTTCTTGGTGTCGCTGTGCCTGAAAAACCGGCTCGTTCTTGGTGTCGCTGTGCCTGAAAAACCGGCTCGTTCTTGGTGTCGCTGTGCCTGAAAAACCCGGCTCGTTCTTGGTGTCGGTGTGCCTGAAAAAACCGGCTCGTTCTTGGTGTCGCTGTGCCTGAAAAACCGGCTCGTTCTTGGTGTCGCTGTGCCTGAAAAAAAAAGCTCGTTCTTGGTGTCGCTGTGCCTGAAAAACCGGCTCGTTCTTGGTGTCGCTGTGCCTGAAAACGTTCTCGCTGCCTGAAAAACCGGCTCGTTCTTGGTGTCGCTGTGCCTGAAAAAACCGGCTCGTTCTTGGTGTCGCTGTGCCTGAAAAACCGGCTCGTTCTTGGTGTCGCTGTGCCTGAAAAACCGGCTCGTTCTTGGTGTCGTTCTTGGTGCTGTGCCTGAAAAACCGGCTCGTTCTTGGTGTCGCTGTGCCTGAAAAACCGGCTCGTTCTTGGTGTCGCTGTGCCTGAAAAACCGGCTCGTTCTTGGTGTCGCTGTGCCTGAAAAAACCGGCTCGTTCTTGGTGTCGCTGTGCCTGCCGGCTCGTTCTTGGTGTCGCTGTGCCTGAAAAACCGGCTCGTTCTTGGTGTCGCTGTGCCTGAAAAACCGGCTCGTTCTTGGTGTCGCTGTGCCTGAAAAACCGAGTGAAAAACCAAAGCTCGTTCTTGTGCAGTGCCTGAAAAACCGGCTCGCTCTTGGTCCACACACACGCACACACACGCACACACACGCACACACACGCACACACACGCAAACACACGCAAACACACGCAAACACACGCAAACACACACGCAACACACACACGCAAACACACACACACACAAACACACACAAACACATGAACACACACACACACACACACACACACACACATCCACACACAAACACACACGCAACAAACACACACACACAACACTACACAAACACAAACACACACAAACACAGAACAACAAACTACAAACACAAACCAATACTCTAACACAAACACAAACACAAACACAAACACAACACACAACACACAAACACAAACACCATACACACACACAAACACGACACACCACAAACACACACACACACACAAACCACACACAACAAACACAAACACATAAACACCACACACACAAACACAAACACACACAAACAACCAAACACGACACAATTCACAAACAAACACACACACACACACACACAACACGACAACACACACACACACACACACACACACACACACACACACACACACACTACACACACTCACACACACACAACACACACACACAACACTAAAAATAGATACAACACAACACTACACACTCTCACACACACACACACACACACACACACACACACACACACACACACACACAACACACACACACACACACACTTGTCCTCCGGTATTGGCCTGTGCGGCAGCCTGCTGCTGCTCCGGCCCACTGATCCATCTGGGGTGACTTCTCCTCCTCCTGGGAAGCCCCAGGCCAAGTCTTGTAGGTGTAATCCCTCAACCGCACGCCTCGCTCAGTCCTCACCTCGGGCCCTTTGGTCCAAACATCGCCGTGGGTTGCGGCGCCTCCTGATGGAAAGGGTAGCCGGGCTGAAGCTGGAAGAAGAGAGAAGCCGGCCGGCGACTTCATCACTGAAGAGCATGCTGAGGACTCGGATGAAAGGTCGGGAGCGGCCGAAGAGTTCTCGGCTGTGCCAGTTCAGAGGGAACTGGCAGTGGAAGAAGTTCTTATGGCCCAGCAAGGCTTGGAATCCTCCGAGCTGGCAATGCTGATCTACCTGTGAGCCGAGAAACATCCTGAACCAGCTGGACTTGGAGATCATGACCACGGAGGGCGGACTCGTGGCACGGAGGGCCGGTTTGCCAGGGTCCCACCTGTGAGGCACGGAGCAGACCGCGGGCGCCCCAGACGTCCACAGCGGAGCTACGTCCCTACGGCTTCAATCATCAGCTGCGCGTCGATCTCAAATATGCCAAGGACACCGACGACAAGACGTTCGTCGCCTTGAGCATGATCGATGCAGGAACAGGCAAGCATGACGCCTGTCTCCTGAAGAACCGAAGAAGCGATCTACGTCGCCGTCATCTCTTTTCAAGCATTGGTGATGAAGTTACGGGGCGTGCCAAGACACCGGGTACGGCGCCCCCAAGACGGGCGAGATTTACGCCCTGTGTGGGTTTGATGCACGTTGAACGACGGCATGCTCAGCGCAACCCAAAGGGAACCCGAGTTCATCAAGCTCAAGAAGAATTGACAGCCGATTTCAACATCAAGGAGTGGCTTGATTCGGCGAAGGATACTGTGACCTTGCTGGGAGTGGAGGTGAAGCTCGAGAAGGGCAGGGTGGTGGACTCCATGGAGAAGTACATCGACAAGATGAAGGCCATGGTGGTGAAGAATGGCGAGGAGGGGTCCCTTGGCCAAAGGAGCTCACCGAGTCCGCAGTTTGGTACTGCAGCTGAGGTGGCCGGCAACGCACACCGTGCCGCAGCACCTCTATACATGGTCAGCAAGCTCTCGCAGAGCTTCTCCAAGGCAACTTGGGAGCATGCCCGGTCGGCAAACAAACTGCTGGCCAAGATGAAGGAGGACCAAAGGGTTTGCGAAGATGGTCCACGCCCCCGTGGACGGCAAGGATCGAGGACATCGCCAATGCAAAAAGGTGGTGGAGCGCTTGGGACCGGCCTATCAGTCAAATCGTTCCCACACAGTGGTCCGGTCATCCATGGCGGCGGAGTCGGGGGAAGTCCGTGGTGCCCTGGCCTACTGTCCCGCCACTCTACCACCGGCGCTCATGGAGGCCTGCATCGGTGGGCGAAAAGAGGCCCGATGGAGGGTGGGATTTGGCGAAGAAGAAGCTGAAGGTGCGAGGGGTCGTGGTCACAGATTGCCGCGCACTGTATGTGACCACATGACCACGACCGGACAGGTGTCTACGGAACGGCAGACACTCCTGGACTTGCTGTCAGAGGAGTGGTGGAGTCCGGGATCGTGGCGATCCGTTGGCCCGATGCAAGCGCCACGGCCGACTGGTCTGACGAAGGAGATTGCGGAGGATTGCACTGCAGAGTTCCGCAAGGATCAACCTTACTGTTTTAAAGGAGACACGAGGGCGGAGATCAATGTGAAGGAACCCCGCCTCGGCTTCGACAAACCAACAGCGCGCGAGCAAAGACTCGGATGAAGCCAGCCAGCCAACATTCCCTTTTTGCAATGTGACTCACTGGGCAATTGGTGATTGGGGCACTTCGCCCTGCTTTCAGAGGACAGGTGCCTGTGGAGAACCGCGGCCGGCTGGATTGCACATAAAAACAATGCACTGCCGCGCGGTAGCCCGGGCTTTTCTTTGACTGTTTTGGGGCGCCCTGGGTTACCCATTGTGTTTCTTGGTGGTCCCCAAACTCCATACAAGGAAAACGCGCTTACTCATCATGCTTTGGATTGCCTCTTTCAGGTTAAAACCGAGCTAATTGTGCCAAACCATTTAAATAGCGGCTTTTGAGGGGAAGTGAGTTGTAGCTGGCCCCCATTGCCAAGACCAATACTTCTACCCTGCCGATTGGGCCTTTAAGTTGCTTACTTTCCAAAAAAAGGGTCGCGCTGAAGAGGAGTTCCCCACAGGGCGTTTCCAGCCCCATGGGACCCAGACCCCCGCCAAAGCCCGCTCCGAGCCGATAATGCCTCCTCAGTAGTTGGCAGGGTTGTTTAAAAGGGAAGTCCAACGGGTAACTACCCTTTTGGGAAGCACTCCCAATGTTACGCATACCCATTTTGCCACCTACAGTCGCGTCGTTTGCGCGTGGCCAGTGAGGAAAGCATCTCCGCAGGCAGCTGCCCAACTGTATGCGCTTCGTGTGTCCCATCATGTCCCATACGAAGCAGCGTGGCCGTATGGCTAAGCACCAGCAAGACAATCTAGTGCGTGCCATCAATGTTTGCTGAAGAAGCTATTTTTGCGCAAAGCGCGGTGCTCACCGTGGAAGCGCGTTGGCCGAGGTGATTTGCATTCCCGCAGCTGGCGTTGGAACTCAAAATTTGGCAACCAGAAAACCGGCGTGCGGGGACCACACAGAAAGTCATCAATTGTTCGCTGGGTGTTGGCTGGAACCCTGGTCAAGCGCGTGGCCCGTGCGATTGCCATGAAAAGTTTGCACGTGCGCGAGTCGCCGTGCATTGACGTGACTTCATACGCGTTATTACCGCTTAACGCGGCCGCGAGTGGGGGTTTTGTGATTGCCTGATCCTGAGCTGTTCGATCCGACCCTTGTGTTTAACAGTTTTGGGGACTTGTTTATCACAAGCCTACCCGAAACGCGCAAAAGTTGTCCTTGTTGGCAACAGGTGCTTCTAAGCTGGTGATCGCCTTTTGGGTCCCTCAGCTACAAGTGAAGGGCTGAAAGCAGGCTGGTAGCCACAAAAGTCGCCGATTTTCCCAGTCACCGCATTGGTTCCTTTGCAGACGTGCAGGGCCGCGTCACGATGTTTCAGGCCAGTCAGGCGGTGCCGTTAGACTTGCCATTGCCGGGCTCACCTTAACCAACCAGTGAGTTCCCAAGACGAGACCGCTTGGCGTGCGGGTACCCTTGGACATCCCAACGGATGATGCAGGATGGATGGATGGATGATGGATGGATGGATGTGATGATGGATGGATGGCTGGATGGAGGATGGATGGAATGGAATGGATGGATGATGGATGATTGGATGGAAGCGGATCGCCGCTTCACACATTCTCCATTCCAGCCCCAAGGAACAAGGTTCCACGACAGCATCGGCTGTGAGGCGCAACACGGCGTGGCAAAGCCTTGCCAGCAGGCGGTGAAAACAGCCGACCATTACAAAAGGAACCTGACGGGGTCCGGTTTGAACCGAGGTTCCATGAGTGCGATCTCTTCGGGCAGGATGCACGTTTTGAAAATGGGGGCCTAAAGCCAGGGACCGAGCTTTACCCATGAAGGTCCTTGTTTAAGCTTGTTTTTGTTTTTCATATTTGTCCCTTGATACTGTAAGTCCCTGTTGTTTGGTGGGTCTGCACTGAAAATTGTCAACCCCACACGGGTGCAATTGCTTGCCCGGGGGAGGGCATGGCGCTCATTTAAGTATTTTTAGCAAGTCCAGATCAATGGTTTCCCCATGTCCGTCAGGGCAAGCCGGCCCACGCTCTTTGTTCTGCGTCATTTGGGCGGAAACGTGCGGCTGGGTTTATTATTTCCTGCTTCTAGGTTATCAAAGTCTGATTGCGTTGGTTTCCCTTTAACCTCCCACGCTGACTTTGGTAAAATTCATTGGGCCAGTCTGAAAGGCTGGGGCACGATTCCAGGCGCCATGGCTTTTGGCCCAAAAGAACCCGAGGAGCGACCAATGGTCGCAGTTTCCAATTCGGCGCTCAGGCTTCACATGTACATCAAGCGCTGAAGAAGACACGAAGCCTTTGAGGCCCGACTCGGCTTCTCAAGTTGGGTCATGCAGGGCGAGAAAGTCCATACCGCCCGAATCACCTGCACCCCCAATTTGCTATAGCTGGACTCCTTTCTTCGCTTCTTGCGGCTGAAAAAAGTGGCTTGCGCGACTCAGATTGGAACTCCACGCATGGATCTTTCGTTGTGAAGGGAGATTCAAGCCCAAAAGGGGTGGTGTCAAATGTCAACTTAAACCCGGAGGACCATAATTACCAAGGCGTGGATCCCATTTAGTAACGAAATAACATTTCATTGTTCTTGGCATGCTGTTTAGTTTTGTGTTTGTTGATTCTATTCATCCTGCACTGCTGGCGTTCCTCTGGGAGCAGGCCCCATGAAGTACCACCTGATGGCACCTTCCACCGCTCTGAAAAGGACAGTTCAGTGGCCTATACACAACACAGTTTTTGCTACCATACTGTTTTTAGGGGATTCAAAATGCGTGGACAAAAGGGAGCACGCAAGGACGACATGAAGCAGGGGGCAACCCAAAAGGCGACCCATAAGAAAGGAATGGAGTTGGGTCAACCTTGGAACCACCTTACATCTCTGCCCCTGGCTAAACTGATGATAGACACTTGAAGCCTAGGTTTAAGGGTTGAACCTTGACCATTGTCGGAGGTTTGCTCAGTTCCATCTGAATATTTGGGCAGTATATCAATCTACCTCGGGTCTGAGTAGTTTTCGTCGTTAACTCGACAGTTGCTCAGCGGATTACAGCCTTACCCACAAAACGTCTGGAGTCCACCCCGCTTCGTCGGGCTTGAAGTTGTTTCTTCCACCTGAGCCACAATCCACTTCAAAACTTGGGTAGATGAAGGTTAGGGACCATAAACCAGAAATAGCTCGGCCGCCTTCTTAATTCCTCACATTGTTCTGGGTAGACAATTTTAACACCGGGTTTTGCTTACGACTCACCTTTCGATTTCCTTGTGGTTGGGACAACTTGCAGTGAACCGCCATCCGACGCCTCCGACTCCGAAAAGCGTTGGCAGCGTTGAAACGCTGCCTCAGGCCCTCAACCGGTGGTTTGGATTGGTCTGGTAAGGCGAGTGATGGCCTTCTGTTACTCGAGGCGCTTTTTTGAATCTGTCAATATATTATATACATATCGAGGCTGGTGGGGATGAATTGTGGCCAGAATCGATGCAAACGCACAATTTGTGTTTTTAATTCTTGGTCATCGCTTATTTAGCACCAAGTGTAAGGCCTGGTGGGCGAGATCATCCTCAATGCCTGACTTGTTCGAAGGGAGTAGTGGTCAGTGGGTGTCTGATCGAAGCTTCCCTTCGAGATGAGCCGGCCAAAGGTTTCGCTCATTGTCCACGAAAACCCACCGGTTCGGGTAGTCCGGGGTCGACATGATGTCATGGAAAGGGCATTTGTCGCCAAGCGGCTCAAGGGATACGTGCCGAACACGCCGGGCTGCACCTAGGTCGGGCTTGAAAAAAGCACCTGCGCTGATTCACCGGCGTCTCGTTGGAAAGCCGGGGTTGTCATCTGCGGCAGTTGGAAGCCAGAGTTTGCAGCTGGGCTGATGTCCTTAAAGAGCTCCAATCTCAGATGTTCAGTGGCACCAATTATTTTTCCATTTTTTTTGGTGGCTGCCCCACTAAACATGGTCTTCCCCAAAAGGGTTCCCTTTTTTCTCCAGGGTCACTGAACAACTGAGCAATTACAAGCAAATCACAAAGTCAAGAGCATTCTGCTCACTGCCCGATTTAGGGGTGGCCCATTGGATGCCGGCATCCATTGCTGCCTTGGTGGTTGCAGGCTCCAAGTCGGGTGAGAATGAGGTCCTTAATATGTGGGATCCATTCGGAGAAGTTGCAATACAAGCAGATCACCGGGGGGGGGAATTGAGATTCCCATGATGGGAGTCCGTACTTACCTCTTAAAAACACAACTTTTCAACTTTTTGGGTAACATGGGCTATATGTCTGTAAAAGATTAACTTCCCCAGGGCTTGGAGTTGTTTAATGGGTAAGCGTATTTCAGACTTTGTGAAGAGGAGTTTGCTGAAAGGGATGCCGTTGCCTTTGGTTTTGGACACTCAGTCTAGTTTCCGGTTTATGAATGGTAATCTGTCGCGGCCCCAGACCTGTGCGGCTTTCCGAATGTTGGGGTGATTGGTTGCCCTAATCAAAATCAATCCGACTTCCCGTTTTCTGGTTGATGTCCAACATCAAAAGTTACAAATTAATGTTGGGCCTGCTTTAATGTGACCCCCGCCCCCCCCCCCCCCCGGAACAATGGAACCAGTCATTTCGACCCTGTATCAACGGACAGCGCCAAATCAACAGTCTATTGTGTGTGGTGAGCCTTGGCCTTGGCCTTGCCAATTCTTGAGTATTGCCAAGCCCCATTGTTTCAGCAACCCCCGGGCCCCCAAGCAAGGTTGAAAGAGAACCCCAAAACAGTCGCATTAAAGAGGATCGGGGCCTGTGGGCAACCCCCCTTGTGCGAATGTTTGTCCTCACTTGCTTGTGAAGAAGTTATCTTAAATTTGATTGTTTGGGCCCTTGTAGTGTAAAAGGCTAAGGCTTTAATTTGAGACTTTCAGCAATCAACATATAGATGGTTGGACACTAAAGAGGACCCCAAAAAAGTCACAATACAGCGGATCAGGGCTTCTTGTGGGCAACACCCTTTGTGTGACTGTTTGCTCTTAATTTTGTGTAAAGAAGTTATCTTAAATTTGAAAAAAGGAATTCCTAATGTTTGACCTTTTGGCCAGTTGTTTGTTTTCCGGCAGTCTCTTTCCAGCCCAAAAACGTGCCACAACAGCGGGCCCCCAAAATAGTCACACAGGATGCTGAATTAGGGAAACACTTGGCACAATGGAGGCCGAACATTAAAGCGGGTTCGACATTATATAGTGGTTCCCAGCCATCCGGTTCCTCAGGTTTTTAGTTGGTTTTGTGGTAGTTTCCACGCCGCTACAAGTGTTAAACTTGTAAAAGGGCCAGCCCCGTTAATATATTACTCATGTTTTGTTGAAGCAAACAACTCCCTATGGCGACCCAAAGCCATACTGCAGGGGGGGAGGGCTCACATCAAGGGTTCCTTCTATTCATGTATGGCAAGCTCACCCAAGGACAGGTCTTTTTCTTGGATCCGCGTCACTTTTTTCGTTGTCAAAGATTCGGATCCACCTTTCAAGTTTCCTTTTGGACAATCCGGTCACTTTGTAGCACTTTCGGGCCACATGTCACAAAGTAAGAAACACTGATAAACAAGGCTTTCTTGGCTGCTATGTGGTTGGATCTTGAACGCTTGGCCTTTTTTTGGGAAGTTGTGATTCTCCCACTCACCCACAAAAAAAAGCTAAGCTTCTTTGTCAGGAAACTAGGATAGCGCTTTCGGGGGTATCATGCGTTATGTGGCTGGCAAGGACAAGGAAACCAGGAAACCACCCATTTTGGGTCCTTTGGGCACATAATGTCCCTTGCAAATTAATCAAACGTTCGGATGAACACCGTTGGGGGGAAGGGAAACAAATGGTGGTGTTCATTTTGTAGTGGTCCTCCACACTGGTTGGTTTCCTTTTGGTTTCCATGCAAAGTCATCCCAACAAAAGGTCAACTATTTCGAGACACCCGAATTTCGAGGGTGCCATCAAAAATACCCATCTGGTGCCCTGAAGAGAGACTCATAAGCCAACCGACCTTTTGACCTTCAGGTTTCCCCATTTTGGCTCCCATTTGTAGTGGCCCGAAAAGGTGATACCTTGTATTTCTGGGTTTCAACTGGGCCACAAGGGTGCCCTTTAAAAGTACAAACAAGCAACAACACATAGACACCCAGAGACACACACATGGTTAGAATCAGTTGCCTCTGATTTAGATTGGTTTCATTCCATGAGGGAAACCATGTGTTTACCGAACCTATGCACACACACGCACACGTGTCGTGAAATCGGCGGAGTTTTCGGGGCCAGGCCTGTCCATCGGTGGCTTGGCCTTCGCCAGTGTTCGGGCCCAGCCGAAGCCTCGACGAGCCAAGGGTCAAGTGAGACCGGAACGCTCCAAGTGAGCCGAAAAATCGAAAAACCTGTCCAGTGACAGAAATTTAAACCCACCCTAAACCCTGAACCGCCTTTAAAAAGAAAGAAAGAGGGAAACAAAAACAGCAGGGAGACATGAACAAGATTAGTAAGCTACACGTGTTACTCTAATTTCACAGGCTCGATTAAGAATTGGATCAAGTAAAAGACCTTTGGTGAGCTCGTTTTACCTCCAGGGGAGCTCGCTATAAAATATGCAGATACATGGAGGCGGGGGCCCCTCCCAAGGTCCCATTACACATGGGTGTCTTGTTTCGAGGGTCGGTACCTTTTTTGCAGTTGTCATGCTCCCACAAAAGGAAGCCAACATGGGATGGGTATGTTTGTCCCTGTCTTGGGTTCTATTTGGTCTCTTGAGGCCTGGGACGTGGAAAACCCAGAAACAAATGATGATCTCAACACCCCCTGAAGGAAGTCAGGTGAGGATCCTCTCACCCGAGCTTAGCTTTTGGTTTTGGCTTAGTTGTGTTTGGTTGGGATGTTGTTAAGTTGTGTTTGTGTGTGTGTGTGCGCCTGCGTCTTGTTGTTTGAAGTTGCTGGCGCTGTCGTGTTCGTGTTCGCATCTGTGTGTTGCGCTGCAGTTGGGATTGAGTGGCAGTGACCCAAGAGTTGGTAAGAAGTGGACCAGGGAGACTTCGGTTCAACATCTATTGCTCTGTTTGTATTTCCGGCGTTCAGCCAACAAATAGAACATGTTATTTGTTCGTTCCCGCTGAGAAATGTTGTTAGCATGTTTTTGCGCACTCGCCGGTTGGATTGGCCAAGTTTAGGCTGATTGCCTGATCTTCTGAGATCGCCCTTTTGAGGGTGGTTTAAATGGAAACCGCAACACACCTGCCCTGCTTGATTGAACTCGCCGGTTAAATTTTGCGTGATGACAGGGAGTGGCCCATTGTAGATCGGGTACCCGGATCGCTTTTGGGGGGACAATGAAACCAATGAGTTCCGAATTATTTGGTCATCGAGGGAATGGTCAGGATGTTGCAGGCTTGGGTCAGCTTACGCTAAAGGGTCAATATTGCCATTTATAGTTTTAGTATACAAGCCTCCCTCCCTAAAACCTCCACTGGCACGGGGCACCATCATATTCATCATGAAAAACATACTGGCTGGAACTTCCAACTATCCATCTTGGGCTGACAAGAGTGTTGGCGATTTGCATTGCAGAGTCAGAACACGCTATTTTCAGTGAACCCCACACGTGGGCCAAGGAACATGGTTGCTGCGAGCTGAAAGGTGATCAACGGGTAGCAAATTGGTGACCGGTGTCCTTGGGAATCTGTTTGGGCAGTTTTCCTCCCGAATTCGAGGGGCTTAGCGAATCCATTTGGGGCACCTCTTCTTGGCGAGGTTGGGAAAACTAACATGACATCGTCCGGAGAAAACAGGCTGTTTTGAGTTCTTCGAACGACAAGGGGACCTTGTTCGCCATCGCAGTTGGCGTACTCGAAGGTCAGTAACCAAGGTTGTAACCCATTTTTTTAAGGGCTTCATGCCACTTTGTGGCAAAGGGGGGGTCATCATCCACAAGTGGCCAAGAACAGAGTACCAACCACATTGTGTGATTGGGGCGCCGCATGGCAACCGGAGATATGTAAATCAGTCGCATCGGCACCAGAGCACTACCGCATTGCGCGGTCGGGACGCCGGCCGCAAGGTGAAACCACGAGCGCTTGGCGCTCTCCTGAGGCGTCCAAGAACAGAGCACCAACCGCTTCGCGCGAGTGCGACGCCGCAAGATGAAGCAGGATAAATGAGCAACGCGAGAGCGCCGCAGGCAGTGTGTTCCAGCCCATAAGTTTCGCCGTAAACGCACCGGATGCCATGAATGCCGGTAACCGATTGAGCCCACTGGCTGAACCAAAAAAACTGACGTCCCGTCGCCCCTATCCAAGTTCAATGCACTTCCAGAAGGACAAGAAGCTGAGGTAACCAACGCTGCAGTCACAAAACCATCACGGGGAGAAAGCAGCTCCTTGCTGAAAAACAAATGCACCTGCACTTCATATCACCGGCAAGTTCCAGGAACACACAGAGCTCATACTGTTCAAAGTGAGCAGCTAAAAGTTCTCCACACCAAATCCTCTTGCTTGGCAACGCCTCCCTGGTCACCCTTCGCCCCGGCATGTGAGGGAAGGGCGCAAAGGAACTGGCGCGCTCGCGGCTGAGACAAGCATAGTCAAGTGTAGCCTCCTCCTGACGTAGGCAAAGAAGAGCGCACAGAGACTGCGAAGAGTCCACGGCAATGAAAACAAGACCGATCAGCTGCAGCACCCATGAACCGCTGCCCGCATTCGTACAGCGCTCCAAGAATAAGAAATGTATTGTAGGATGTACGTGGGCTCAAGGCACCTTGCGTGCCCACTGCTCGAGCATCATAACCATGTAGGGAAACTCAAAGCGGCGAAACAGGCAAACACACAAACCCGGCAAAGCACGGACGAGTGTTTGCCAACGCTGCCAAGTTGTCCCACCACTGCACGATGTGAGATATCCGCCACAATGTAAAAACTGACGTTGTGATTCCCTGCTGAATGAAGCGCCAACGGGTGAAGCGAGCTGCATCTGCCAGCGCATGAAAGACCAGGACCATGAACAACCACACGACGATCCAACAGACATGTGGGCCTGCATCTCCATCTCGAATTGAAGTAAGACCTACGCCACAGCGCACCCACCCTGTAGATCATCGCAAACCTGTGTCCATGGCGCCCCGAGCGATCGGCTTGCACGCCCCACCGTCACACTGAACAACTGGGATTCTCAAAGGTGGGATCTGCAACCCTTTGCTTTTTGGGAAAGACAGGTCTCCCACCGCCCACCAACCTGCAAGAAGGTTACTGATGTGTTTGGGCAGGGGGCTTCTTGCCATGTGGCGAAAGCAGGAAGCTTGTTTGTGACTTACCGCCAAAGCGGTCGCGACAAAAGCCAATTCCGGGGCGCCTTGAGTCAAGGAAAGCCAGCACTCGCCTCATCCCCAATTTGTGGCTGGGTTTGGTTTGAACGTTGGGGTACCTCCCCATTTGGCTTGGCCTCAAAAGGGTTTGGGGTTCAAACCCCCGGACAAGTCCAAACCACCAGTTCAGGGCGCTGCAAAACCAACACGCTCGGCGCGCTTCAAGGATCTCGAACCGCCAAGGAGCATCTTCGCCGCGGCCGCCCGGGCAGAGCTCGAGCGCTCCGCCCGCGAGCGCGCGGCCCGCGAGCTCGCCGCCCGGCGCGCCGAAGTGCGGGCGCTGCGGGGAAACGCGGCGGCGATGACGCCCACGACTCCGGCCACCACGACGCGGGAGCCTCGGAGCGAGCGATCGACCGCGGCCTGGAGGTTGCCACCATATGTCTTATATTGCTGAACCCATACTATTCAGCTTAGTAATAAGGGGGGGGGTCCTTGGGTTTAGTGGGGATTCATCACTTTTGGAGGGGAACACCCCCCCAAATGAATAAGCAGGGGCTTTATGAATCCGGGGTCAACATTAAACCAGAGAGGCGGCCATCCTGGCTTTGTTGGCGGGGGGGAGGGCTGTTCCGGAGCTCGGAGGGTGTTCAAGTTTGCCTTTGAACAGCATGCCTGCCAGGAGCAGGAGCTCGCTGTTTGAGTTGGGATATTTTCGGAAAAGTTCCAACCTTTTCCACAGAAGAACTGTGGTTGTTGGCACAGGGGTCTGGACCACGTAGTGGCAAACAGTTTGGACGACCAATTGGAGTGTCTTTTCTTGAGGGGCAACCAAAACCAAAACCACCACTTTAGGAGTCCCCCAAGCAAGACACACCCAGCACCTGCCGCTCGGTCAGTGGTGCTTGGTTGACCCAAACACTTCATGTCCAACCTCCACCAAGAGGAATGCCACCAAGCTGGATTCTCGACACCCTCGCGATGCCTTACCTTGCCGGCGGAAACCGCACGTGAGGCCTTTCGAGTCGAGCCCATCCTCATTTGCCGAGAGCCGTGTGGGTGCGCTCCTCGTTAGGGTTGAAGCTTTTCATCCCCCCTTTCTCTGGGTGCTCGGGGTTGAATTTTGAGGGGTTCGCAAATTTGCCATCAAGCCACCATTCAGAGGGTACTTTGAGGATGTCCATCACTTTTGACGGACCCAGCTTCTTGTCCCCCCCCCTTTTCGGGGAAAGTCCACCCTCCCCTCCTGGCTTGTTGGTTGAGCCCCATTCACGTGATAGAAGTCCTTTTTGAGGATCCGTTCAGTTGTCCAAAAAGCCGAAAAGCAGGCACGCTCTTTGCGTTTGCTGGTGCGCGATTTGGTCTGAGCCAGTGAACGGGTGCACATGCACCCAGACACCCAGCGGTGCCTGTTTTGTCCTTCTTTTTTATTGAAGGCGTTCGCATGCGGACTCTTGTGTGGCTTCTGAATTGGACGAAGGCAAGGGGCCACCGCGCATGTTGCTTTCTCCGGGTGACCCTCCGGGACAAAAATACACAAGTGAAAAGAAGACTAACTCCCCCCCCCCGTTGCAGCGTAACACGGAACCCAACAACCCGCATTGTTTTGAGGAATCTCCTTTTCGGACCCGTTTTTGGGGTTGGCGTCGCAGTACCACGACCATTCCCTTCTTCCCTCCATAGAGCAGGGAAAAATGGGTCGCGCACGATCTGGGCAATGCCGGGGTCTGGTTGGGCCAAGTTTCCACCTTTTCGTTTCCAAGGGTTCTGACCTAAGTTGGGCCAAGAATGTTTCCGGGTAGGTCACAAAATTTGAACATTGAATTTGGGTGCCTCCTTTTTGGAGGGTATTTGTTTGGGTTGGTTCGAAGGGAAACCAAAACCAAGCAACCATTTTGGGAGCTCCGTTTGGAGAAAACCATCCATTTTGTGTGTGGACCTTCGAGAACTCGTGAGAGGCCGCCTGCGCTTTCGCGTGCTGCTGCTGGACCACGCCTGGGCCCTGAAAATTCCGATGGATCGATGCCGGCGGGTAATGATCCCCGCCCCCTTATGGAACTAGGGAAGGGGGGTGACCCTTCCATTTCTAGTTCCATTTGTTTGTTTCATGGGGAAGACGAGATAGATGGAATCGGGGGAATGCTGACCCCATATTAATGTGTGTGTGTGTTCCCCTCCCAAAGTGGTGTGATTCCCCGCTAAACCCAGGACACCCCTTCATGAATAAACTGGGAGTGATGAAAAATGACCAACGAGGGTCGCAAAAAATGGCCTCCGAGTGTGCAGCATAGAGTGGGGTAAAACGAGCGACAGCCCATGTAGGCCCCAGGAAATCAAGTCATGTTTCAGGCTTCGGAGCTCGCACTGTGGGAAAACAATCTACAGGTCCGCATGTTTGGACGGAATCCAAGCAAACATGCAAATGCCGGTCCAAACATGCAAGCAGCTTTTAGAGCAATCGCATTTAACTGGACACCATGCTCGTCCAGGTTACTGTGAGGAGCGAATGTGGCCCAAGCTTCCCCATCTAGCTGATCGCTCGAGCCGGGGGCTTCCCGAAGCCTTTCGGGTACTTTGGGTTGATCCCCACTGGTCTCGGATTTCTCAGGGGAGTGTTCCCCCCAAAAGTGGAGGGTTCTCTCCAAACTGCGACGCAGCCAATCAACCAGGTGACAATGGGGGTTTATTAATCCCGAGTCAACATCAGCGCCTTGAACGCTGCCTGCTTGACCAGTCTGCATGCCAGGGTGACGTTTTTTTGAAACGTCGGTTAGGTTCCTCGTCACGAAGCTCGTGTAAGGTGCGCTTGGGTGCTGTGGTTTTCTTGTTCGATCCCAGGCCTTTGGGGCAAACAAAGGGACTCACTTCCTGAGTTGATGGACTTTAAACTTTTTGGAAAGACAATTTTAGTGGTAAATAAAAAGTTCAGACTTTTTTTGGCCAGTCAACTTGGGAAGTGAGGGGGGGGTTCGTGGGATCTGGAAAGACGAAGAACTCGCTTTTGCCCAAAGCCAAAGCCGAGCTTTTAACCTTTGGGTTTTCCGACTTTGGGCCATTTTTAGTCATGGCCCCAAGAGGTTAACCTTTTATTTCCGGGTCCTTTGGGAGTTCAACAATGTTTGTCGATCCCTTCGAAGATTATCAATGGAGTTTTGATGGATTTCCAGGATGACACGACAGTGCGCGGCACAGAGGACGGCTTGCGGCTGGCGCTCTCGTTTGTTCGGTTGAAGCTTGGCTAAAGTTGGACAGGAATCAACACATGACGTTGTTGGTCAGCAACAAAGGCCCAGGTAGACTTAGCGTCATCCTTCAACAAGGGGTCACTGGATGTCCCCTCAAGCAGTTGCAATTTCCTGGTGGGTTCCATTGAAGCGATCGCCGCTTCAGGAGGCCCTAAAAGGAGAAATTGAGGGAAAACTGTTCAAAACCCACGGGTTTCCCTAAAGACATAGCCTCCAGGCGTCGCATTCTGGAGCCCGTTGAGCGTGGTCAAAAAATCAATTCGCCATTTGGGGATGGAATGGTATGTAAAAAAAAGCAGTTACTAGTCAACAGACATCCAATGCTGGACGCCCATTTGGCTTGACATCCTGAGCATTGGCAACGTGAGACCGCTTGGACTAGTTGGGCCCATTGGGTCGTTTTGACTTTGGTTGTTCCGTTTTCTGTTTTTCGTATGGCCCTTTGCTTAGGTAATATTTCCCACCTTTACCAAGCCAGCTCTCCTGTACTTCAGACATCCAACAGCAGCTTCCAGACCGTTGTCCCCAGCACTGGCCTTCTTCAGGGACCCTCTCCGGGCTCACGAGGTTGAAGTCCTTTTTGGTTTGCTTAAGAAATAGAGGGCGATTGGTTTAGATGAGGTTCATAACCCATAAAAAAGGGCCATCGATTGTTCCAAGAGGCCATCTATGAGTCAAAGACTAGGAGAAGTCAAAGAAGGCTGTGATGGTAGGTTCTGGAGGGTTGCTATGATGGCGTTCGCTGACTTTCCCAAGCGTCTCGACCGCGCGACTAACCTCCCTCGTGTCCTCTTGGTCCATGTGGAGTTGCAACCCAAAAGCCTCACCAAATGCTTTTTAAGTCCTGCTTTTCTTAGCCTGAACAACATCTGGGACGATTCGCGTGATTCCCTCACTGGTCAACATGCACAATGTGTTTGTTTTGCACGGGCTAACCAAGCTTTGGGCAACTGGTGGTTTGGATTGGTGGTTTGGTGGTTTGGTGGTTCAGGAGTGGTTTTCCGTTGGCCCTCTACAAAAGCCAGGCACCAACTAAGGGTTACTTGAACTGCATGAAAATTTTACGGGGCTCATGTCCAACAAAATGGTGCCGGGCAACAGACCTCCAATGCCCGAACCATAGCGAGCTTCTCATCGGATGCTTCCATAGCCATTCCGCTGGAGGGTCTGCAAGGGTCTTTCTAAGTTCTGGCGGTTTATGTTTTTCCCCTCCAAGAGGGTCCTTGGGTCGGGGGTAGATGTCAACAGGGTCCCATTAAGCAGGGTCCCCTAACAGGATACATGCAGAAGTCACCTGGTACATGAAGTATCCCTTAAGGAACTCTCTCAAAGTATCTCCAAGAAGTTCATGTCGATGGAAGTGCACCCTAAACATGGCTTTGGGCAACCCGTTTCAAGGCTGACAACCCTTTCGGCGGTGTCGGGTGTCCGGTGCAAGTTGTGATTTTCACGGTTCTTGTTTGTCAGAGTCGCTCCCGTCCCCGCCGTTCTTAAACATATGGCGGGTCTTCCCCTTAGACCTTCTGGACACAAATGGGTTTCCATAGGATTGACCTTGTGCAACCCAGAGCAAAGATCAAAACCTGAGGGTAGAAACAAGGGTAGCTGCTTATTTTTATTAGTTTCCCATGATATACTAGAGGCATACCCTTGTGCCGAGCGAGTCGTTGAAGTTCTGAAGTGGTCCTGTGTGTTGTTTGTTTTGCTGGAGGTTGGTTCTATTCTGGATCAGTTGGGCTGCAAAGAGCCGACATGGTGGGCTTTGTGTGTTTTTCTGCAGCTGAAAGCTTGGGGTCGATAGCCCCTCGGCCCTGGAGTTTGCTGAGGGTTTTCAGGGCTTGGGGATACGATGGCTTGTCTAGCAGGTCGACCCCAATTGGTGGTTTAGACTTAGGTCGGAAGGGCTGCACCGCTGGTAGAGCAGGGCTCCTGAAAAGATACATTTTGCAACCATTTGAAGCATGGTTCATTCTTTTTCCACCAATATAAAGGGGAACCGACCGCCATTTACAAGGCAATGTTCAGGTGTACAATGTAAGGATCCCTGTAGAAGGTAAATCTAAAGCTCCAAGCCACCGGGCTCCAAACCAAGTGGAAAGCTGATCCAAGGGCCTTGGACGTGGGACGGGTTCAGATCCTTGCGAGGCGCGAGTGTGTCTTTCCTGCCAGGAGGTGCACTACCCAGCGCACGTGGAGAGCGTAAAGATTTTGCGGCCCGAGTTGGACCCCGTGTCCCTGGAGGTGGGGGCATGTTTTGTTTAATTCGTTTTTTTGTACCTTTGTGCACTGTGTTGTCCTGTACTTGTGGTTATAATGAGGAAACATGGGCCCTGGCCCGTGTTGTTTGATTTCAGCTCACTCTCATGGCACCTCTTCAAGAGTGCATCCTTATTTCAGGTGGCCTCCAGATGCTATGCTAGAAGGAAGTGCCATCCTGCAGATGAGTACTTGGTTTTTTGCACAAGCATAGCCAGTCCCAATGCCAAGAGCCCAAGCTACTCCGCTTGGAAATCCCCGAGTTTCGTTGTGGCGTTTGGGCCAAAGGACAGGGTTCGCATGTGCCCCTTTGGCGGCAACCACTACGAAGTTTGGCCAGGTGTGTTTTCGTTAAGCGAGTGGCCTTTTGCGCGGAATGGGTTTAGGTTGGATAGAAAACGCACACACACACATATATATATATATATACATATGTATATAAATATATTTTTTGAACCAGTGAGTGTAGGTTGGATAGCAATAAACATATGTAATTTGAACCAGTGGGGCGCCAGTGGGGCGTGTTGGCTTCTCCGCAGGGCTGGTTCGCAAAGAACCACGACCCCGGCGCGCGGACCCTGGCTGGTTGATGTGTTGACGTCGCTGGAGGAGTTGCCCGGGTGTCAGCTTGACATTGTGCTTTTGAGGATGAGGAAACCGATTATGGGTCTCCTGGCAAACTAGTTTCTGTTTTAGGGTTGACGAAATATTCATGAAACATAATCCGAAATGTTCATTTTCTGCATCCTGTGGGCCAAGTTGCATTGCCAGATGTAGCTTACTTTTTCGGTCGTTTGCCTTGTTGGGTGTCCAACATAGTCCCCATCCATCTTGCTGGGGTGGTGGGGAGGAGGGGGCGGTTTCTCAGAACACTGCCTGAGACCCAGCGAAGATGGGTTTATGAAAGCTCCGGGCGGGTGAAGAGAACTGCCAATCAGCCTACCTTGGAAACTCAGCGGTTATTGCATGGTTCTTTGTTTGCGGGATTGTTTGTCCGTTCCTTTGTTTGTTTATTTGTTTGCCTGCCTGCCTGCCTGCCTGCTTGCCTGCTTGCTTGCTTGCTTGCTTGCTTGCTTGCTGGCTGGCTTTTGGTGCTTGCTTGCTGGCTTGGTTGGGGGAGTTGTTGATTTGTTTGTTTGCTTGCTTGTTTGCTTGTTTGTTGACCTCCAAACGCGGCAGTGCCAGTATGCACGCATCCATCCCACCCAATCGCATCCCATCCCACCCCACCCCACCACATCCCATCCCATCCCATCCCATCCCATCCCATCCCATCCCATCCCATCCCATCCCATCCCATCCCATCCCATCCCATCCCATCCCATCCCATCCCATCCATTTGTTCGTCCGTGCATTCAATTTCATTTTATATTGGTTCGACTCATTTTATTTGCATTTATCTCATTTCGTGTCTTTTAATTCCTGCATTCATTTGTTCATGGGAGGACCCCCCCTTCGCGGGATTGAACCCCTGACCTCCAGCGGGGTTGTTTCATGTTTGCATGTGTTGTTTGTGTGGGCTCCCCTTCAACATCAACCAACCAGCAAACACCCGTAAGTGGGTAGTCAAGCTTCCATCAGGTCTCTTGCTACCTGAAGTCCCTCTTCACCACCGAGCAGATGCTGCTGATCCAAATCAGATCTCCGCAGACCCAAAAAGCCGACCCAAAGGTGAGAAAGCTTCTTTGGAGGAAGCCCTCTCTGGGCACCCGAGGGGGGGTCCAGAAGAAAGGAGTCCCAGATCAGTTCATCGGGGGTCAGCTTGAGCTCGGCCAAGGAATTAACTTTCAAAGTGGCAATGTCATGGTAGGGCTTGATCACTTGAGAATGACGCCAAGCTTTTCCGGCAACCCCGTCTCCTGGCCTCTAGCCGCCAGCCCAAGCGGAAACCACGAAACGTCTATTTGGCACCAAGTGTGGAGCCTTTGACCAGTTTTAGGCGGGGCAATCCCAACCAGACCCGTTTTCTGTCTAACCCCACCTGGTTTTGGGGGCCAAGAGAAAGTGGAAATGGTCGGAACACTGGCTTGTGGTTGGAACAGCCGGAAAGTTGCGGGGGAAAAAAACCAGAGGACGGACTTCGTGACTCATGTCTTGCTTTCCGCGGTTTCTTGGAGCTCCTTGTTTGCTAGTTGGTTGGATCTTTGACTGCTTAACTTTGTGATTGAAATTGTGTGTTTCCCCTACAAAGCAGCAAACAAAACAAGGTACCCCCTCTATTTGTGATTTGAACGGGTGGTTTGGGGATTTGAAGCCCTGCTTCGTGCAAGGGGTATGTGGGGAGCCCCTAAAGCACCAGTCCAAATCACCATTAGGAAGCAGGGAAGCTGAACAAGGGAAGTTCCCCGGAGGGGCATTTGATGTTCGGCCTCGGGGAATGTTGCGAGAGACTCACAAGCTGATTTCCCAAAACTGGGGCGGGGTTGGGAACACGTAATGTCTCGCCTCTGAGAAAAACATGGAACCCTAACCTGGCACCTGTTGGGGGGGGGGTACCTGGAAGATCAGTTCCGCTTGGAGGTTTTTTTTTCCCCTGCCATGGCAAGGTGGGAGGGTATTTACTGGGCAGGGGGTGTTCAATCTGCGGAGCCAAGGATGGAGGAGGAGCACAGGATTTGGCAGAGGGCTATGGAGGGGACGGTGCCCAGATTCTACAGCGGCCCCTTGGATTCGTCGGATTCATTGGGCCCAGAAGTGATGCTTTACAAACCTCAGGCCTCTTTTTCTTTGGTGCCAAATGGCTGTGGGTCAAAAAAATAGGGTAACCCCAAAATGGCTTGCCCTGGTAAATGGAAACAAGGACTAAAACCTGCGCTCCCATTCCTGGTGGTTTAATTTTGACCCATACCCATGGTGAAGAACCCAAACGATTTCCAGCCCAGCGCCCAGATTTTCCTTTTTGTTGGGGACACGTTCCCCTGTAAACTCAAGCAGCCAAAAAGGGATGCCGTTTTTTTCTTCCTCGTGGCCACTGGGCATCTGAGAAATGGCTCACCTTTTGTTCCAGAGCTAAAATCTTTGGAGTCTTTGCCCTGACTCCCGAGTGGGAGCAGAAGATCATGGCGTTTTGCGGGTTCCGGAAGGGGCGGCTCCATCCGCCAGCTGCCAGCCGGTTTTTCAGCCAAGGAATGGTGGAGCATCCTGGCCGCAGATGCCTTGTCTCTACGTGGCTCAGTACTGATCCCCCTACTCATTTTTCCCTGCTGTCCTTGAGACTCAAATTGAAACGGCTAGTACTGTTTGGGACGTTCAGCAGGTGCCCCCACAGTGGGTAACCTGGTTTGGTTTTGCCTCTGAAGGTTTAGGATAGCCACTAGGGTGGAAACCAGGGCTAACGATCTGTCTCGAGCAAATCCTGCTATTGGAAAGAGTCCATGTATGCCCCCCGCCCCAATCTTGTTGGCGACAGGCTAAACTTAGCCCGGATTTGGCGAAGATGTTCAGCGTGAACCGACTGCCTCTATATCCACAATTTGTTATTGAGAGGTGTGAGCCCCTGTCCATTTATGGCTGCCTACTCATGGTTCCTTGCTATTTGAGCTTTCCCACATGCAACTAATCCAAGTGGGGGATGGGTGGTGTCTTTCCTTATGGATGATGATAACAATGCAGAAATTGATTCCTCATATGGTTTTGGTGTGGTGTAATCCTTTGGGATTGATGTACCGAGGAGCCAGGAGAAAACCACCCTTTGAAGTCCCCGGGTTGGTATGTCGCACAACTTCGAAGCCCGCTCAGCGAAAAAAAACGAGCCCGGCACCAGGGGGTCCCTCTTGTCCAGTTGGTGAATGATGTTGCCAGTTCTCAAACATCAAACCGGTTTTCGTGAATGAACCTGAAGACAGGGAAAACCGCCAGGGTCCGTTGTCATGTTCCCATTCCCTGCCAGCAAGTAAGCTGTGCCTAGAGTCTCCATGACCCTTAAAAAATGGGTCCATGACCCCTTAATTTGGAGTAATGACCCCATTTTTTAAGGGTCATGGAGACTCTAGGTGCCTCAATTGTGCCGGTCCCGGTGAAGCTTGAGCCTGGCTAGAGACGAGAGACGGGGCTCGACGGAATCGGATGACCCTCGATTCGACTGCGCGGCAAGAGCAGCGCGCCAAGAGTCGAACGATTGCTTCGTTCCCACCAAGTCGGTCGATTCGAAGATGGAATTGGAGGGTACATGGAAAGGAGTTTCAGAGATCGGGCACACACATTTTTGAGATGTGTTCTTGCTTTATTTGTTTGTTGTTTATGTTTAAAACAGTTTATATTTACATGTTCGTATCCATTCATCCATCCGTTCATCCGTTCATTAATTAATTGTAAACGCTTCGCGTTGCCCGCCTCGGCCCAGCCTAGTTTGAGGGAAGGGTCAGGAACACCGAAATCCAGTGTTGGGAAGGTCCGAATCCTACTGAAAGCTTGTGACCGCACCAGTTCGCCCGTGCTAGTTCGATGTTCGGAAGCCGTCCTGCTCGGAAGGTTTGAAATCCAAAACCAAGACTATCTCAGCTGCTCAGTGCCCTTGGAAAAAAAAGGACCTCTTTCTGGGGATGAGCATTTTTAGTGGGGCTTGGCCTCCATAAAAAGGGGAACAATAATTGGTGTCACTGAACAACCAAGACCAACTTTGGGTGTTTGGGCACCTCCATTTCACGTGGCTGGCGGCTTGCCATGACATACATTTCTTGCTCGGTTGCTCAGCCCAAGACAGGTACATGGTGGGAATGGTAACCTCCATTTGCTTAAGTACCCCGGAAAAATATCCTCAATAGTGATAGTTTCCCTGTACTGGTGTCTTGCTGGCTTGCCTGAAGCTGGCTCCAGACAAGTCAGACAAGCCGGCCTCGCCTGGTTGGGCTGGGCCACAGGCTAGTCTCAGACACATCAGATAAGCCTGCGCTGGGCCTGAAACTAGTCTCGGGCAGCTTGGCTGGACCTTGCTTGCGTGGGTTGTTGGTTGAGCTGGGCCTGAAGCTAGTTTACGGCGGGCTGGGCAGCCGCGCTGAGGGGGCTGGGCTATGGCTGGGCTGGGCCTGAGGCCAGTTTCAGACACGTCAGACAGGCCTGGCCAGCAGGCGGACTGGGCTAGGCTAGACGCCCAGGCTGGTATAGGCTGAGGCCTGCAAGTCTCAAACAGGGTGGGCTTGGGGGGTTTGCTTAGGCGGGTTGCTGGTTGGGCTGGGCCTGAAGCTAGTCTCAGCCACGAGGCTGCGAGGCCATGGGTGGGTTGCTGGCTGCTGGGCAGCCGGACTACTGAGGCTAGTCTCAGGCTGGCATACTTTGAGACCAGTCTCAGACTGCGCCGAAGGCGCTGGGCCTGCTAAAAGGAAGAAGTGAACAGGAGGTCAAGGCCTGGCCAGCCTGGGCTGAGCTGCTTGGGCAGCCGGACTGAGGGGCTGGGGCACGTCAGACAGGCTTAGTAGCTGGCATAGAGACCAGTCCCAGACACGTACGTGAGACTGGTCGTTGGCCTGAGGCCAGTCTCAGACACGTTAGACAAACCTGACCTTGCTGGTGGGCTGGGAGCTGGGGGCCGGCCTAGTGGCTGGCATGCCCTGAGATGCGCCGGGGCCTGGGCTGGGCTTGCTGGATGACTTGGGGCCGTGCTTGGGCGGGTTGCGTTGCTGGGTTGGGCTAGGCCTGTTTCAGACAAGCCTGAGGCTGGGTGGGCACAGGCCTGGCCAGCAGGCGGGTTGCTGGTTGGGCTGGGCCTGAGCCTAGTCTCAGACACGTCAGACAGGCCTGGCCAGCAGGAGGTCATGCTTTTCAGGACAAAAAAACAATTTTTCAGCTTGTCAGCACATTTTCGACAAAAATGGACCCATGGAGCTGGACGCCGACGAACCCCGAAAATTTCAAGGCCCGCCGGACAGGATTTTGATTCTCTTTGGAGAAGAGATCTGAGCGCCCTTGGCCTTTTTGGGACCGAGGCGAATTTTTTAATTAGTTCATTCATTCATTCATTCGTTCATTCGTTCGTTCATTCATTCATTCATTCATTCATTCATTCATTCATTCATTCATTCATTCATTCATTCATTCATTCATTCATCCACTTGTCGATCTATCTGCCTATCTATCGATCTATCTGTGCACCTATCTTTGTATCTACCTTTTCTTTCCAGCCCTTTTCAGGTTGCTGCGAGAGTTCCGGGCCCGCGGCGGGCGCGCCGCGGAAGCAACAAGTGGTTGCCTGTCAGGGGGGGTGTTCCCTTTGCCCCCCCCCCTTTTCTGCTTAAACCGAATCCAACTTTACAACTTTTGGTTGGGTTTGGAAGGTCCTTTTCGTAGGGAGTCTATGGGGAGGGGGTCCGTAACCTTTGGAACCCCTCAAGCGTATCCTGAGTTTTGAAGGTCCCTTGAGGGGCAGAAAGCACAGGGACACCAATGAAGGTTCCCATAAATCGACTTTGCTGAATTTTAGTTCCAGGGGTGTCGATCCAAAGGATGTACTGTTGGCCCCAGAACAAACCTCTACATGCAATCTCTGAGTTTGTCCTGAGACAAATGACAGAGATTGCAGCCTGAGAACATGTTGCACCACATCCCTTGTCACCTGCTTGCTCAGCAGGTTCCCAGGCTGTGCTGCAGCAATGTGAGTGGGGGAGTAGGACACAGAACTTTCAGCTACATATTCAGCTATGGATTCAGCAACTTGAGATTGTCAATAGGGGCTCGTTTGGGGTTTGGTGCGGGTGCATCGCTTTTGGAGGGGCCTCCACCCTCGAGGGGCCAAGGGCCCCCTGCCAGGGCTTCCCTACGTGACTGACCCCAAAGCCCAGCTAACCCCACTTATGCAGCCGACATGTTCGTGGGGATACGGAAAAAAAACAGGGGGATTTGGACCATGAAGTTTGAGTATCCGCGACAGTTGACGCCTGAAGCGACAACAATTATAAGGAGCCTGCAGTGGATTCAGTCTCTGTGCAGCGCCAAAGTTTCAAACTTTCAATATTATATGCGTGTTGTCTATGTTGAGCGGTGTCACGTCCAGAATTGACAACCAGCAAATTTGTGTCTTTCAGAGACAACATGAGAGGCAAAGACAAGTGGCATGCTGGAGTGAAATTGTTTGAAGAACTTGTGCCTCACTTTATGAGTTCCCGGACTTTATACCAGATTTCCTTTTTTTTTGGAAGGGAGCAATTGCGCTGGGGGTATCCAACTTCCTTTTTTCTGAAAAGGAGGCTAAGGAGCAAAGCGTTGTTGCCAGTTGCCACTCCAGCAAGAGGTAGCCACTTGGATTTGTTCAACTTGACTTTACTCGCGTACTTCTGCCCTGCAAGGTGGTTCGGTAGCTTGCCCCCAATAAACCTCTAGCTTCATCCTGGCCTCAAAGTCCACAAGGTTGCTCATTAGAGGGGTTGATTGATTTCCCAGGTGTGCGTTGCTTGGACCGGCGTCAATGGGAGAATCGTCCTCCCGTCCGGAATGCCCAATCCTTCTTCCCCAGTGACGGCTATGGTCAAGCTTTTGATGCGGCCCTGGGTTCGGTGGGTGCTGGGCTTCGGGGGTTGTCAGTGAAACTCCCCCAGACGACAAGGCTCCTTTTTGGTTGGTACCGAAAGGGAAAAACCAAACCAAGAAGACAAGCCAGCCACGCTCGGGGGCCGATTTTTCCATTTTTTGTTTTTTTTCACCCCAGGCATCGCGGTGGTGTCGCACAGCCCTGCAGACGTGATCCGGCGCCACTACGAGTCCCACCCCTGGGCCGACTTCATCCGACCCGATTTGGTGCTGGGCTGGGACCAGGACAGACAGATCGCCGACGGCATTTGTCTCGATCCGCGTGAGGTGTTGGATTTCGATGGGGGCGGCCCCAGTCCAAGTGACTCACGATCAAAGAACGGGGTAGGGACAATCCCATTGCGGGGATCTGCCTGTTCTATTCTTTACCATGGTTTCTGGGCTCCATTTTACTACGAGGCTTTGAGTATCTCTCACGTGCCAAGTCGGGGGCCTTGACGTTCCCAAAGAATCCAAGCTTGATCGCTATGTCGATGTGGTTGGATCTTGAACCTTTAACTTTTGATTGAACATTCGTGCTTCTCGCCAATCAGCAACATGTGCAGATTCGTATGGGTGGCGTAGTCACGTGGCAAGGTTCCTCTACAGGTGGGCTGTTGCAGCCAATGAGTCTTTCTTGGACCAAGTTGTCTTGGACCAAGTTCGCTTTAAACGGGTGTTTCAGACACCAGGGGTGACAACTCCCATCAAAAACTAGTTGGCGCAATTGAATTGGATCCTGATTGAAGCCAACCTTGAAGAACTTGTGAGCTTATGGCAAGAGGTTAACTGTTTATTTCCAGGTTCTTTGGGCAAACGCCACAGCCCCCTTTTGGCCTAGAGTGCTGGGTTGCGACGCGGCCAAGCTTCCGTTGTGCCCAGCATGCACCCAAGAAAGCACAAGCTAGCTACCCTCGTCAGAGTGAGTTGACCTGTGCTACATGTTGCTACCTGAAGGGGCAGCGTGCTTAGTCAGTTGTTCAAAACCATGATTGCAAGTCTCTCGCCAGTTGTAAGTGCTGTAAGTGGGCTACAACCAGGGTTCTTAGTGCTTAGCCCCTTGCTAAGTTACTAGGCGCCCCGCCCGTGCACGTAGAGACCAACAAGCCCTATATATCTTAGAAGGCGTACCCTCGCATATATCCCGGGTTCCCATTCACTCAACTGTCCACCGGGTTGCTCGCCCAAGACGTTAGCCAAGGAAACTTGGGATAATGGACGTGTGCCCCCCCCACAGCTTGTTGAGTTGGCAAGCTTGTTACTTCAGGTTGGCAGGACTCATTGTCATGATTCATCCTTTTGTGAGGTACCGGTTGGAAAGTCAAAAGGAACCCAAACACTTTTGGGATCCAGATCGTGTATTTCTGGCCCGCCAACTCCGGTGCGCCATGAACCCCAGTGGCCCAGGATCCAAGCCGCCGGAAACCAGCCCCGTGGCCCGCGCTGCACGCGCGACGCGGCCAAAACAGACCACGGGGCACGGCAGATTTGGGTCCCTAATTCCATACCTATTCTTGACCTACAATCAATTGGTGAGTTTCCTTTGGTGTGAGTTCTCTGGAATTTTGGGATGTGAACCCTGAAAACCTCCTGGCATCTTCTTGGACCCACAGTGAAACTCCCTTGTTGTAGATAAACCACTATCGGTTGGTTTCACATTGAATCAGCCCTCCTACTGCAGACCAAGCTGTGCACACGCTTTGTGGGGTGCTTTGGTGGCAGCCTGCAAGCTCCCCCTTGCATCCCCTTGTCCAATTGACTCCAACTAATAACTAGATGGAGGTGTTTTTTCTTGGGTGCAGCACTCACTTTTGGTTGGTTGTAGGCAACCACCCTTTTCGTGTTGACACGAATCCCAGTGAAAGAACATCGAAAGAGACGACTGGTGGCCTTGCTGCTTGAACTGGGGCGAGCCAACCAGGAGACCAACACCATGTTTGACTTCGAGTTAACTCAGGCGGCAAGTCCGCCTGGTATGGTGCAGGAAGGTGTCGCACAAGCTCACCTGAAATGCAAAAAGGAGAAAGTTATCAGCTTGTTCATAGGGGCCAGGAGTCGCAATCCGGTGCAGCAATTCTTTCAAGCTCCATACATACGGCCATGGGTCAAAAGTAGGGTAACCGCAAAATGGAACCTGGCAAATGGAACCAAGGAGTAAAGCCTGCGGCCCCCTGGTGGTTTAGTTTTGACCCATACCCAAATATGCCAAAATTTGAGCACGACATAATTTGGTCGGTGCCCCGGCAAAAAATATCGCAGGAGCCCAAGGCAGGAGCCACAAAGGTGTTCAACAACAAAGCCACACAGTTTAGAGACGTCGGAACCCACATTCCCACACCAAAATCATGTATGGAAGACGGGTAGATGGCAACACATTTACCGTTTTGCCGTACTCATTCACCTAGAAGGGTTCAATTGGATGCACAACCACTAGCCACTATAACTTAGAGTTTCAAGCCCGATTTGGGCAATGTTGACCCCAGATTTGTCTAAACCTGTCCTACTGTTTTATGGGTGTTGCCCTCAAAAGTGGGTGAATTGCACCACTAAGAGGGTACAGCCCTATGAATCAACCGGGAGTTTATATTCCAGTTGCTTAAGGCTGTTGTATGTTTCCCATATTTATTTTTCAAGGGACTCTATCACTACTGAAAATATATGTTTTCTCGTTTTTTGTTTGTTTGTTTCGGGGACTTAGGCAAATGGAGGATATTAATCAGGGGTTCCCATTTCCCATTCTCCGCCTTGAGGCTGGAGCAGTTCGGGGCGACACCTGCAGAAGCTTTGGTCGTGGACGACTTGTCGCCCGGTGTGGGGGCCTTGGAAGGATCATGCTGAGCGAGCTGTTTCATACCCCATGCCATCAGTCTACGTCTCATTTAGGGACTGAGCTCACCAATGATGGGGGTCAATTGACCCAGAAGTCATTGGACACGTCTTGGGCGAGAACAACAGGTGCGTCAGACCTGGACGCTTTGCCACTTTCTGGGTCAATTCGCTGGGTTTGGGGCGGTGGCGTTGGCAGTTTCCGGCGTCCTAGGTTCCGGCAACGGAGTATGCTGCGAAACTGATTTTTGGACTTTGTCTTAGATGGTTGGGGACACGGCCCCTAGGAGTAGTTGCTTGGTTGGATCATTTTTTTGGGAACGCCCCACAAAGCAGCAAGATCGCCATTTGCTTTATCAATAAGATTGGCAACGGATTAAACCTGTTTGGTGAAAGAGGGTAGTCCCCTTCAGTGAATCCCCACAAGTTGACACCTCTATCAATCAACAGGCGTTTAGTCAATGAATCCGGGGTTGCCACTACTAAGTGGTGTTGTTTCTTCTGAGGGCAGAGACCTTGGATTTCCACAACAAAGGTCCAAGATCCAAGGAGCATCCAGCATGCTGCAGATGTAAGAAAGACATACTTACATACTTCAGGGGCATGAGGAGGCATGATTGAGGCATTGCAGGCTTGCGTGCCGCGTGACTGCAGCATGCACTTGCATAGCGTCCCTTCTTCCCAAGTCTTCGAATCAGTGGAAGCCAACCTGAGTTTTAAAACATCTGGGTCCTTTTTGTGGAAATCTCCGCTTGCCCCATCCACCCCCAACACCCAACCCCCCCCCCCCGCCTGGTCCGTCCATGCCGCCGTAGGTGAAGATGGCCAAGGCGGCGGGCCTCGAGGTGGCGGCGGCGGGCTGGGGCCACTCCGTGCAACCTGTGCAGGCCCGCTGCGAGAAACCAAAACAAAACAAAAGAACCAGGGATGTGAAGTGGTGAACCTCAAAAACGGGGTCGCTGGGCGATTTTTTGTTTTGTTTTTGCCTCTCTTTTTTTGAAAAGGGACGTTTAGTACGTTTCTTCAGCAAAATAGTGACATATCATATTTCTGTATGTGCTGATAACGAACCTTGAGATTGGAAAGAACTCATGGAATCTTACGGGCGTTTTACTGTCAACCAATGTCATATGTCCTTTTCTTGCGTAACCTTAGCATGCAAATAAAGCTAAAATCGAATTTGCGATACACCTTGATAGATTGAGAGATTGTGGGGATGGTTTTAAGGTATGTGACTTAGAGTTACATACTTGTGCAATGAAGGGTGGGTGATGTCAGATGTCGACTGCAGCAGAAACCTGTGAGAAAATAAGCTGTGAGCAGTCCCTATCTAATCACGAAAGCTAGCTTTAGCTAGCTGAAGTTTCTCCTTGCGTAAGCAAGGTAAGGGGCTCAATTGCCGAAAGATTGTTTTTTTCAATTATTTGGCCGAAAAGATTGAACAAAAATCAATTATTTAGACCCCCCCCCCCTTCCCCCCCCCTCCTCCCCCCCCCCCCCGGTGTCTCAGGCTCGATTCCTCCTTGGTCCACCCCTCCCCCCGGGCAGTGGCTCAGTGTTTCAGCAGTCTCGGTTTGCCCGTTTTGGACTTGGTGTTATGCACTTTTACATGTTCCGCCGATTCAGCTTGTTCATTTGAGACCTCAGTCTTCTCAGTAAACCACCTCGCAAGAATCTTTGCACACGCAGCATGCAGAACCCAGAGGTGCTTTAAGACAGCTTCTAACACCTCTCGTTGTTTTCATTTTTCAAGGTTTGCCACGCTACCATGTGCGTTTGCGTGTCGCATCCTACGAATCTTGCCGGGCCTCTCGTTGTACACAAGCTACCTCTGAATCCACTCTGTCACCGACCCATCTCATGCAACAACTGCTAGCTTTCGTTCACCCGCTCCTCAAGTGATAACTACTCGCCTTGTTGTGTGTTTCTACCACATATATTTTGTTGTTTAAAAAAAGTAGGGGGCAATAGTAATGACTGGCTTTGGCTCATCAGTTGTGGAACCTAAGGGAGTTTAAACGTTGAGGTGAAAGTCATAGCCAGGTCATAGGGCCCTGGCTCATGGTTGTCCGAAGCAAGCTGTTGGCATCACCTTGGTATCCAAACAGAAATGCTGAATGGTGCGCGCCTTTTTTTTTGTGGTTTGGGACCCCAGAATGATGTTTTTGAATGTTGGGGGACCCCAGAAGGATAGGTAGGCGTTTCTTTTGGTTCTGCTCTGAAACCGGGTACCCGCCAAAAAAGACACGCCCTATCTTAGGCCACCTTTGTTTTGGGTGGTTCTAACAGGTCAAACCAAGAGTTGAAAACCACCAGCTGTGGGTTCCCCCTTGAACTAGGCACACTCAAACGACCGCAAGATGACGGGTTTCCCTCAAGGTTTTCCTTTGAACCAACCTAAAGGGTACCAAGCTTCAGGCACAAACGTTTTAAACGTGGCCGGAATGAGTCTGCAAATTTGCCCCATCCCGGGGATCGGATTTGTCCCCTACACAAACATTGGGTTTTTGTGGACTTTGGGGGGGGGGTGTCGGGGTCGCTAAAAGTCAAACTAGTTTGTGCCTGAGGGCGACTGGGTTGCATGGAGGCCACCGAATTGATCACTCTATGATGGCTTCACTGCTCTTGGAATGACTTTTAGTTTGTGTTGTTTCGTTCTTTTCATGTTTCGTGGGACTGACTGGAATCCGGTGACTTGCTTCTCGTGGAAGATGGTTGAATGAGTTTCACCACGCACCCAATAGTCCCATTTTGTTGAGCGACTTCCCCGCGAAACCTGTTCTGCTCCAAAACATGTTCCATTTTTTACCTAGGCCACTGGACAACTGGGCTAGAGGCTCGTCCGCCTCTTCAGCGAAGCCTAGGATTTACCCGCAAAGCACTCACAAACTACTGAGACCAGCCAAACTGCTCACCCATGGAATGCAAGTCGATTCCGATGTCCAAAAGCAAGCCGAAAAGGCGACGCCTTTGACGTAAAAAGGGAGCGTGTCTACTTAAAACCTACATTTCCAGAAACATGTAAGAGCCCATGCTTCTGGAACCAAAAGGGCCGAGCAGTCTTGCCTGACAGCCAACGGATGGGGTGAACCTTCGGTCATCAATCTCCAATCGCTTAATACTTAGTCGGCCGCCTTTGGTTGCTCATAAATGGGGTCATAAGCCTCCTAAATTGGTTTTATTGGGCTTATATGGCCCATAGCCCAGTTTTTTTCACCAAACCGAGGCAGCCAAGTAGCCCCACCTCAACGGCTCTATGAGCCGTACCTCTTAGAACCCGCGTGAGGACTACATGCGAAAGGAGTGCCGCCACTACTTCGAAACGGTCGAGGAGATGGGCTCAGATCGAACAGTTTTTTGCGCGTGCAGGGGAGGGATGTAACTCAAATATGTCATCAGGGTGAAAGGGTATGCCAGTTCCTGTCATTTGCAGCGATACTGAGTCAAGGTGTTCAAATGCCAAGGATTTGCTCGAGTGGTCGCGCACGAGTTCTTTGGGCAATGGCTGTTGCATTGTACCGAGTGGATCGATTCTTTCTTGCTTTCTCCTCCCTTACGGTGGGGCGCGTTTGGGGTTGCGAGTTGCACACATGAAAGCTTCCTCCAAGGACCTTGCAGATTTCCTCCTCGTCGATGACGCTGAGTAACAAAAATATTGCGGCGTGATGCGGCGTGTGAGCCCTTCACTCGGTGTCCGTGTGCGTTTGTGTTTGTGTGTGCGCGTGCGTGTGGGTGTGTGCGTGCGTGCGTCTGTCTGTCTGGCTGGCTGGCTGGCTGGCTGGCTGGCTGGCTGGCTGGCTGGCTGTCTGTGTCTGTCTGTGCCTGTCTGTCTCTCTGTGTGTCTCTCTGCGTGTCTCTGTGTGTGTGTGTGTGCGTGTCTCTGTGTGTGTGTATGTGTCTGTCTGCTGTGTGTGTGTGTGCTGTGTGTTGTGTGTTGTGTGTTGTGTGTTGTGTGTTGTGTGTTGTGTGTTGCGTGTTGTGTGTTGTGTGTTGTGTGTTGTGTGTTGTGTGTTGTGTGTGGTGTGTCGTGTGTTGTGTGTTGCGTGTTGTGTGTTGTGTGTTGTGTGTTGTGTGTTGTGTGTTGTGTGTTGTGTGTTGTGTGCGTGTGCGTGTGTGTAGTGTGTATATATATGTGTGTGTGTAGTGTAGTGTAGTGTAGTGTAGTGTAGTGTAGTGTAGTGTAGCGTAGCGTAGTGTAGTGTAGTGTAGTGTAGTGTAGTGTAGTGTAGTGTAGTGTAGTGTAGTGTAGTGTGTGTAGTGTAGTGTAGTGTAGTGTAGTGTAGTGTAGTGTAGTGTAGTGTAGTGTAGTGTAGTGTAGTGTAGTGTAGTGTAGTGTAGTGTAGCGTAGCGTAGCGTAGCGTAGCGTAGCGTAGTGTAGTGTAGTGTAGTGTAGTGTAGTGCGTGCGTGCGTGCGTGTGTGTGTGTGTGTGTGTGTGTGTGTGTGTGTGTTTGTGTTTGTGTTTGTGTTTGTGTTTGTGTTTGTGTTTGTGTTTGTGTTTGTGTTTGTGTTGTGTTGTGTTGTGTTGTGTTGTGTTGTGTTGTGTTGTGTGTTTGTGTTTGTGTTTGTGTTTGTGTTTGTGTTTGTGTTTGTGTTTGTGTTTGTGTTTGTGTTTGTGTTTGTGTTTGTGTTTGTGTTTGTGTTTGTGTTTGTGTTTGTGTTTGTGTTTGTTTGTGTGTGTGTGTGTGTCTGTGGGTGTCTGTCTCTGCGTGCGTCTATGTGCGTGTCCTCCCTGTGTCACTGTGTCCCTGTGTGAAGGGAGCGGTTCCGGAGCCAGGGGGGTATCCAACTTTGAGGGAGCCTTTCGGAGCTATAAGTCATGGGTCGGATTTTTGGAGCGCGTTGAACCAACCCGTAGGGTGCTTCAGGTAATCCTTTCGATTGCCAGGTGGCTTTTTTGGGGAAGCCTCCAATTCGCCAAACTCTTCAGGCCATTCGAGAAGCCCCAAGTTGGTCCAGAACCCAAAGGGGAAAGGGAGCGGAAGCGAGAGATCCACCCGGCTGAATGTCAACTGAAGCTTCCGGAGCCCCACAACTGCTTGAAACCTATGTCCAAGGACCCCTGTCCACAAAGCCATGTCCAAGAAGCAGGTGCTTGGGGGCTGCTGGTTGGCTTGGGGGCTGCTAGTTGGAGATCTGCAAAAACATGGAGTTTGAAGTGGATTGAACTCATGTCGGGCGGGTACCCGGGGCCCGGGGCAGGTGCACCCGCTTCGCCGTTGTGGCTCCAGAGATGTGCACAGAGCGTAGGTCCGCATCGCAAGCCAGAGATCAGACTGGGTTCGGCAGCGATTTCCAGAAGATCCAGGAGATCATGACACCATCAGGGCTCCTGTGCGAGGTTATTTGCCTTTTCCATAGCTTGCTGAGCCTTAGCCCCAAGGTTTTCTTGAGTCCCTCTCGCAAGGATGGCCCAGGGTCCATGTGAAGGACAGCATCTCAAAGGACAGAGCAAAAGGAAGCCAACTAGTAGTGTTTGGTTGGGGGAGTCCCCCCTTTAAGCAATAAAAACACAAGCGCACCCATTCGTATAATGACTGGGGGTGGGGCAAATTCAAGACCAGTCTCCTTCATGTTTTCAGCAGTATATTATTGGTGTTTCACCCCCCCCCCCGCCCCCGCCCCAATTTTGTCCCATGCTACTTGACCCCATTGGCCTGTTCCAAATAAATCCACTCGCTGACTTTCGACATGCTCGGGTAGCACACATGGCGGCTCCGGCAGGCATGCAGATGTTTTGCTCGGGGTGGTAGGTTGACGTTCAGGGTTGGGTGCAAATTTGCTTAAACAATGAGATAGGTGGCCCCTTGAAAGGCAAACCAAGAGCAGGTGGAAAGAACTGTAGTGGTCTAAACGTGCTTCAGCGCGTGGTTGGCCAACACTTGTTTGTATCATTCAGAAGCATCCATCACCAGGAGGGGGCGAGGGTGGTAGGGGGGACTTGTGCGGGCGGGCCCCAGGAAGGTGACTTTCTGGTGGCAACGCGGGAGTTGCATCCCCAAGTCCCAAGGACACATCCGCCAGTTCACCGAGCTTACTTTCCAGTCTCACCATGCATTGGCTCAAGCAAACCGCGTGAATTTTTCAAAGGGCTCAGGATGGCGAGGTGGCCGCTCTGAAGCCTTCCGGAGAACGATCGTTCTGTCCGGATGCAAGAGCGGAAATCTGCCAAAAACGAACAGTGCGACAAAATGGGGCAGAGACTTTGGTTTGGAACAGAACGTCAACGTCAGTATTCAGGTTTGGGCTCAGTCCGGATGACTCTGCGTCCTGGTTCTGGGAAGGTTTCCTTGTCCGAGCTCGATTCTGTGGCTGCCAAAGTTGTTCGGGTGGAGTACGATGCTCGGGCTGCGTATAGTAGGACGCTGTGCCTGAATCCGATGCTTGGCGAAGACGCCCATCAAACTGGCAGTAACTGAGCCCGAACTTCTCGTGCCAAGCGCGGATATGAAGAAGCGCCCCTTTTTCTGCCAGGGCTGACGGTTGCAACTCGCATTTGTTGCCAGGTGCGCTCGAACCGGCCGTCCCCGAGGTGTGCGGGGGAGCCTGTAAGCTTTGACCCAACTGGATTCCACTCACCCCCAATGTCAAATTCAATTTTTGGTTGGCCGAGGTCAGAAAGTCTTGTTTCCACCCTTGTCCAATCCCCTTTGCGTGGGGCTGCCCTGCGCCTCGTGAGCAAAAGGTACATGGGGTCAAACTTCTACCCGAGCCTGGTGGCTACCCTTCCGGGACATGAGCGGCCAAATTTAAATGCAGCCTGTGGGGGGGAGGGGTTGAAAAGGGAAACATGGGGGTTTTGTGGGGGTTAAAAAGGAAAGAAAAAAGAAGATGCCAAGGAATTTGCACCATCTTTGCACCCTCCTTACCGCCGGGTCCATCCCATCTTGGCCGATTCCTTGGCCAGTATCGTGACGAACCGCGTTCTCTTCGGTATCCAGCGTGCATGCCGAAGAATGAGGACCCCGCGATGCCTGCAAGTTGGAAACTGTTGTAATTGTAAATTTGTATGGTTCTTGTTGTATGTCGTGTGTCTAGTCTATTGACTCTGCCTTTCATTGATTTCTGTCACATCTTCAAAAACCACCTGCCTTGCGAAGTGCATGCGCATGGTCACATTTTCTGCATGGGCTTGATTTCATCTGACCTTGGCTGAAGGGCTGACGCCAACCAACTGGGACCTCCTGCATGTCCCTGTGTCGCGGTTCCCCCTGTTGTGTGTTTCTCCAAATTAGGGATCGTTTCATGTGCTGTTCTTTCCCAGTTTCTCTCCATCCCACTGCCTTGATTTTCGCAAACACCTGACAGAAGGACAATTATTTGGGGTTGCGCAGCATGTTGCAAAGCAAGCAGCGGCAATGCACATGGGATTCTTGGTTAACCACTTGGGGTACCCGTGCAACTGCCCAACGTTTGGACATAGGCCCAAAAGCTCCCGTTGTGGAGCCATGCAAAGCAAATCGTCGTTTGGTCAAATTGGGTCTTCCATAGCTTCCCTTTACCAGCAAACAGTTACTCCACAACTTCAGATGAAATCCAGAAAACAACTTAACATGAAATCCAACTAAGAACTTAACATGAAATCCAGAAAACAACTTAACATGAAATCCAACTAAGAACTTCACATTAAATCCAGAAAACAACTTAACATGAAATCCAACTAAGAACTTAACATGAAATCCAGAAAACAACTTAACATGAAATCCAACTAATAACTTCACATGAAATCCAGAAAACCACTTAACATGAATTCCAACTAAGAACTTAACATGAAATCCAGAAAACAACTTAACATGAAATCCAACTAAGAACTTAACATGAAATCCAGAAAATAGCTTAACATGAAATCCAACTAAGAACTTAACATGAAATCCAGAAAAACAACTTAACATGAAATCCAACCAAGAACTTAACATGAAATCCGGAAAATAACTTAACATGAATTCCAACTAAGAACTTAGCATGAAATCCAGAAAGCAACTTAGCATGGAGTCCAACTAAGAACTTAACATGACATCCAGAAAAGAACTTAACATGAAATCCAACTAAGAACTTAACATCAAAACCAGAAAACCACTTAACATGAAATCCAACTAATAACTTCATGAAATCCAGAAAACACTTGGGTTCCAGGTGTTGTGTTTGCCACAGTAACCTTTAGGCCAAGTCCCCAGTCAAACTTCCAGGCGACGGAGTGGCGATGTCTGGAGGCTGGGGGCCCCAAGACCTGTGGGGCTTTGGGTTTTCTTCGCTTAGATCGGGCGACCCTCGATTTGTGGTGTGAAATGCACCCGCCCACCAAGTAACATTCTGACGACCCGGTCCCTTCAGGAAAAAAGGGTCCAAACCAGGATTGAATCGGGCCGGAACACCTCCAAACCGCAAATCCAAACCGCCACTTAGAGGGAAGCTGAACACGGGGTTGTTGTTTTTTTTTGGTTTGACCCCTAGAATTGTGGTTTTCTTTTGGCTTGCTCTGGTCAAAGTCAATCCTTCGCCCTGAACAACAAGATTGTAATTTTTCCTTGTGGATAGTGCCTCGCGTCCAGTTCTAGTATGATGCCTTTGGAAGGCTGATTTGGCGAGGCTCATGATCCATCCCCGGATATGCTCAGGGCAAGCAAGGGGTCTCTTGGCAGTTTGAACCGCCCACGGGGCCTGAAGGACAATCTCCGGAACTCTGCAAGCAGGACAGCCCATGGACCCCAAAGGATTCTAGAACAAAATGACATGTATTTCATACGGACGTCCACTCGAGTAAGAAATGCCCATCCTAACATGGAAGTCACCAAATACCCGACACCCGTCCTAGCTTCCATGCTGGTATGGTCCAGAATTTCGGGCCCTGCGTCGCCAGTGCCACAAAGCAAGCCAGGATGTACAGCCACCATTCTTGGGTTGTCACCCCAAATGGTAGGCAGGGGTCAGGGTCACAAGATTTGACATTTTACATAAAGGAATCAAGGCCAAAGAATCAGTGCCCGGATTATGTCTAGCTCTGTCTCGACACGCGCGCCAAGCATGCCTCCAACCTGGAGACTGCGTGGCCGCATCCGAACAATAGCGGCTGAGCAAAGCGCTGCAGGATCCAACCACCGAGGGTGCGCACGTTGATCATGGAAGGCATGCTAAACCACACGGCGAGACATAGTCACAGCCAAGCAACATCTGTTTGCTTGTGACGAAAGCAGCCGTAGCATTGGTTTTTTTTTGTTTGCCCTCCAGGCACACGAGGCGCCAAAAAGAGGTTCGAAGACTTGGCCCCTTCCCCGGCGCAGCTGGCAAGATGGCGGGTTGTCAAGTTAGCTCCGCGCCATTTGTCATTCTCGCACTTTGAGCATGTGGCTTTGCAAAATGATCGGCGTATTGCAGGCTGTCGCCGCAATGGCCAGGTTTGGGCAAGCGGCGGTGGTAGGCCGGCAGCAGTGCCCGCGTTGGCTGCGCGAAGGGCCTCACCATAGGCGCGGATCGGTCTCGCCTGGCAAGGAAGAAACAAGGCAAAAAGCCACCGCACTGTGTCGCCTAGATACACATGCAAACTGCTGTCTGTGGGGTGGGAAAAGGCGTATGGATCTGGAGGAAGACCGCGCATTGAACACAACAGGCGGGCGCGTGTGTAAACGTGTGTCAGAAGTGGGGGTTGAGCGAGAGGGGGCGGGCGAGAGCAAAGCCACCTATACTTGCGCGGGCGCTCAGCCGCACGAGAAACTGGATCTTCTGCACCAAGTTTGACTTGAATCACTAACCTGTCTGTGCTCCCATACCCATCACAAGTAGAGGAATGCCCTTGTGCAAGTGAACCCGTAACTCAGCAGTGACCGCTGTCTTGTCTTCGACTTCGCTGGCCAAGCTTGCGCAGCCAAAGTCGTGGACTTTCCGTTTGCAAGCAGTGGCCTGCCACTTGTGTCCAGCTTGAGGCTGCTCACAAGGGAGGGTCCGGTCAAGTTGGTGGTGCCGTAGTGCGCAGATCTCTGACAGGCAGACGGAAAGCCTGGGTTAACCACGTGTGGGGGGGGAGGTTATCACAGCAACCTGCGATTTTTTTGGTCAAACGGGGGTCCCTTCTGGGGGACCCCCAAAAAACCAGTGTAGGGCCTACACTGGTTTTTTGGGGGTCCCCTGAAAGGGACCCCCACATGATTTCAGGTTGCAAAAGACGCGCAGATCAGCTGTAGGTCCCTTGGCAGGGGACCCCCAAAAAACCAGTGTAGGCCCTACACTGGTTTTTTGGGGGTCCCTTGCAAGAGACCCTCGATTGTCCGAAAAAAATCAAAGGAGCCGCCAGGTGGCCGCGCCTGCGCTGTGGCTGTTTCTCTTTGCGCCGGTTGTTTCTGAGAACCAGAGGTGCGTTGCCAATCGCAACAAAACGGAGTGTGGCGCGAGCGTCTCGCATTTTCTGCTGCAACTCCGCGACTCAAGCCACGGGGAGCGAAGGCGCTACACGCCTCCGATGTGGCCGCGCACCGGCGGACCAGGCAAAACTTTTCGTAATCGTGCAACACAGTTTGAATTGACTGGGGTTCACGCCCAAGCTGGTCTGCAAGTGAATGTATCTCCGGCTGCGCTGCCCTTTGCCTCACTTGTGACACAAAATCCTACAAGCAAACAAACCACACTCGCTGCGCTTGTACGACGTTAAAGCAAGCAGAGGGTCATGTCTGCAGAATGAGCCGGAAGCTCTAAAGCACTGACACTTGAGAAATGGCCTGCGCCGTTTCCGAAAACAACGAAGGAGAACCACAGGAAAACAGCGTCCAAACCACAACTTCCCTGAAAGCAAAGCGAGCTGCGTCGCAATTGCCACGGGACACCTACGGTCCCCCTATTCTGCCAGGTCCTGCTTGACATCACTTCACGGGAAACACTTGTTGCGAAGTGACATTTCGTTTGGCAAGGCTTCTTTCAGCTTGTTGGATGCTAAGGTGGAGGCAGGCGCCCGGCGCCCCGGGCGCCCGGCGCCCCGGGCACCCGGCGCCCCGGGCACCCGGCGCCCCAGGCGCCCGCCGCCCCGGGGCGCCCCCCGCCCATGGCGCCCGGCGCCCCAGAGCCGGCAGAACTCAAAAGATTTCTGCTCTGTTCAAATGGCTTTCAAACCCACGCTTGTGTTTGGGGCGCCAGGCAAAGGTCCACGTGAGTGCAAATGCAGGCACGACCCCCCGCTTTTGGGAGATTCTCGGGTGTCTCCAAGCGTAGTTCTGCATCTACGTGGAAGCCAAGACACAGCTTTGCGCTGTCAGCCAGAACAAGCCTCAACTCCCGCCGCCTCCTGACTTCGTCCTGGTGACAAACTCCAGAGCGACACAAACAACTCAATGTCTTTGCCTCTCGGCATTCCGGGACTGCCTCGTCGCACAAGCAGCAATTAATGCTGGCCCTTCCTGCAACTGATTGACGCTGAGCGGGTGGAGTTACTGACTTGTTTGAAGACGCAGGTGAGAGCAAATTCGTTTAAATCAGTGCAAGCAAGGCGCGTCATGGAAATACGTTCTGCCAGATGAATCTGGGATGCGCGCGGCAAAAAAAGGGATCTGGCCCGCCCTTGATGGTTGGCCTTGTTTAATGTCAAACCTTGTGACCCTGGGGGTCGTCTCCCCCTTTCTGGCTTTCACAGGCCCAAGACTCAAAGAATATTCGCCAAGGCCCCAGGCCAGGCATGAAGCAGAAGGCTCGAAAACCCACTCGCCCAACGATGGGCCGCTCGATTTGCCTTGGCCATCCAAAAGGTGTGTGGGAGGAACGCCAATCTTGGCCCAAGGGGCCAGAAGCAAGCCTTGGATGCACCCCCAGTGGAACGAAGACCAGAACCTCGCTGGCCATTGCTAGGGGGTTGCAATGAACCACTGGAGCTTCGAACACACATCTACCCTCCCAATTAACATGAAACCCACCGGACGGCCCCTTCAAAAGCAAAATGGTCTTGACCCCCGGTCAGGTTCCATGTTAATTGGTGGGAGGGTATTTCTTGGCAAGAGCAGTTTCGTGCAAACATCCAGCATTTTGACAAATTCCACAGTGAGACAAGTGGATTCCCCAATGTATACCCTACCCCTTATATGACTTCTATGCATTTATGTGTCCCATTGCAACAAACAAGTTGGTACCACCCCCAGTTTAAATGGACTTCCTGGTGGCAGGCCCCCCCACTGGTGCCCTTGTTGCACTCATGTGGGGATGAGTCAAAGGGTATCAACATGGTTGTGTTTTTGGTCTCGCTTGGTGCCTTCCAAAACTATTCAACATTGTAGAGTGGACCAAGGATGGCACAGAGTCAGGCAGGACCTGTTCCGTCCACCCCCTTTTCGCGGTTGCTGTTTTGTTCTTGTGCAAATGTGGTCCAGAAGAGTTGGTACGGAGCCTCAAACCAAAGGCTACGCACGGATGGCGCCATGAGCGCCCTGCTCCCGCGGGCCGTGAAGCGGCCGGAGCTGCAATGGCGGGGTCGCCTCGGAAGCTGGCGCGAGTCGTCCGGGGCCCCGGCCCGGGACTCCAAAGCGAATCGAGCGGATCGGACCTTTCGGGGTTCACATGTCGGTCTTCACTTTTTGGTATGGCCCCAAAAGATTACATTGCATGTTATTTCCAGGTCCCTAAAAGACTGTGGGTGCTTGGCCAAGGCAGTAAGTTGTTGGTAACATGGGTTCTAAACCACCTAAAAGTCCCTCAAAGAGGGTTTTACCTTGCTATTAATTATGCAGCTTATACCACAATTGGCTGACGAATTACTAACTTGGCCGAACATCCAAGGAAGGATATCAGCTGATTCTTTATTTGGGCTCGAATGGGGTGCAACCATTTCGAGGATGCTCACCTAACTTGGGTCACCCTAGCCGAAAGCGAGTTTTCCCTTGGTGATGTTTGGGGGGAAACATAGGGAACCCCGCAATTCATACTACTGTTACTCTACCACCCCCCCCACACTCCTCCAGTGTTGGTCTAGTCTTTCAAAAAACAACGTCTTTCCCAAGGGGGTGTGCTGGCGGGTTGTGATAAACGGGTTGAACAATTTCTATGATGCGATTTTCCCCTGCCTCATGTCCACCCTGGATGAATCAATCAATCAACCGCTTCTGAATTGGCCACCCAGACCCCCAAAAAACACACCAAAACCCACAAAAAAACACATGGTGAAAGTGTAGGTGAAAGAACACGCTTTTGTGTTTCAAGTTGTGTGGGACCATCAACATGGGCGGTTGACCTTTTCCTTTGCAGTTCGTTGTTCACGGCACGTAGTGTTTGCTAGTTTGGTCCTTTTCCCTTCATTGCACACCTCATTGGCAGGCTCGCTGGTTGAGTTGGCAAAGTGCCCAGCCCAACAACTCTAGAATTGTTTGACCACACAACTCAGCAGGTTTGCAGTTACCTTTGGTGTTCTTGGCGGCGGCGTTGCTTGGTATTTCACATTAGCGTCACGGCAGCTGGAGTAAAGGAGACCACTCACCCATATTGTTTGGGTCTGACGGCAAAGTGCCTCGGGGCCCATGCTCGATACCAAACGGACTTCCCTTACACTCGTGTAAGGGCGTTGGACCATTGGAGGTTGTTGGAGGTGTAGAGCTTATGCACTACTTCCGTATCTCAAAATAGAGGGACCCACCCATTTTGGGGTGGGTTTCCTTTGGTTGTGCATGAAAGCAACCCCAGAATGGGCACTAAAAGAGCCAACCCCTCATGTGCCAGGGTCACAAGACCTTCTCGCTTGGGATTGCGAGGGATGGTCATCAATCGTTTGGGGGATTGAGACGGTCTTCGTTCGTAAGAGACCTCTCATTTGCAGGATGCGTTTTGACCATCCCCCTATGATCCAAAGGTATCCAAAGGTCTCATTTCTGGAAGGATCAAACATGACTCATGTAGACTTTGATTGGTGCATCCAGTTGGGCCAACTCCCTGATCAAACCTGGGGCCAAACTCCAATGGTTTAAAACATCTCATTTTGGTGCCTCTTTTAAGGAGGTTTCTGGTCTTGTTGCAGTCAACTTTTAGCCCATTCATTCTTGGGGCTGTCCGACCAAGGGCTGTGGTCACATGTATGATGATTTTACCTGGCAGCTTCGGACACTCAAACCGGGCGCTTCAAAACAAGACCCGCGAAGGCGAAGCGGCTCAAACGACAAGTTGATTTACGCCTTGAAAAGTTCAACCGGTCCGACGCAGGGGCCAGCCAGGAGCCAAACGGGACCTGGCCAGCTACGACCTGTCACCACCGATTTGCACCATTGATCCTTCCCTTGAAAAGGGCCACCCTGAAACGATAAAACAAGGTGCCGGAGGGGACTTGACTCTCGATTTTTGGGGTGGGGGGGAATGGCATTTTTTTTTTCTTCTCGTGGGCTGGTTGGCACCCGTGGCTCAGCAACCAGACAAGGCAGGAGGTAGGTGTCCCTTGAAGCATTCATTTTTAGTCCAAACAAGTCGCCTAGCTGATTTAGAGGATCCTCAAGCAGGTGGTGTTTGGAAAAATCCTTTCAGGCACTCTGCTAAAAACTGGCTGCACTGGCTGAACCGCCCAGCGTGAGCACCAAGGTCCGTGCAGGTGGTGGCGGCGCCGGGACTAAACGACCGAACGAGCGAACGACCGAAACGCGCGGACCAGATTGAGGTTTGGGGAAGCATCTTGGGTTTTTAGACTGTCGTCTTCTCCGGGGCTATTTTAACATAGAGTAGGGACGATCAAAGGCCCTTCTGGGGGCAAATGACAACCTAAGGGTGTTGAATCCAGATTTGTGTGTAAGGAGGGCCTCCATGGATCTTGGTGAAGGATTGGGCCGGGGAGACTTAGACAAATGGTCAAGTTATTCCCTTTGTGTGTTTGATGCGTGTTTATGTTCTCCAGTTGGCCAATGAAAATTTCATAGTCATGATTGGGACATGTATAGGTTTAAGCGGCGCCTTATTCGTTTTCGGGTTCTTCGATTGGCAATCATGGTGGCAGGGTTGAATCCTGGTGGCCAGCAAGGCTTGTGTTTTTACGCGCCTTTCGTGGGCAAAGCAGTGGAGTGTCCGGCATGCATGCTTTAAACCATGGTTCGCACAGGACACGTCCACTGAGTCGGGAGTAGTTGACCATCGGAGGTTCAGTCCCAACACAAAAACTGACAAACCTCCCAGGGCTCCTTTTCTCTAGGCACTGAGACACTTGAGCCAGCGCTTGGCAAGTGTTGCGTCGCCATGCAAAGCTTCTAAGACTCTGTGCTTGAACGACTTGACTATGCATTTGAACCTCCCCTGAAATATTGAAACACCACACAACATCACATCTGGCGCTCACACCAGGGGCTTATCCTGCAAGGCAAGTGCGCCTTAAGATGCAATCAATTACATCTGCCTGCATATATGTTTAGGCAATAGTAAGGTCCATGCAGAGATATTTCCTCACACACACATATAAACCAGCAATCCATCACTTTATCTGTGTGCAATATTATATCTCCTTATATACACATGTATGAAGCCACTGGTACATGTCAGAATTACCAGCTTCGCATCCGATCCGCGAATGCGAGGTGCTTTGGGCCCGGTTCCGCGTGCACTTACGTGGCCTGGCGCTGCGCAAGGCCGTGGGCTCCCTGCGGGGCCAGTTGGCAGAGGCCTTGGCCGCGGAGGCCTATGCGCTGGCGGAGGGTGACGAGATCGAGGCCGAGCCATGCAAACAGCTCCAGTGCCCTTTGGCACGCCTCTTTCTTTTTTGGTGCGGGAAACCCCCGACTAAAAATAGAAGAAACAGGAAAAAGCGGGGACCAACTTATTCTAACCTCTTTACTGGACCTAGCCAAATTGCCATGGCGTGCCTTGAAGCACTGTTTTTTGTGGGGAGTTTGAGTGAGCTTCTGAACGGATCATAGACTGGGAGCTCTTGGGCCGAAATCATCTTGCTGGTTCTCAGACGGAAGGCGAAGCCGCCGACACACGCGTCGCTCTCGCGTCCGGTCTGGCAGCCTCGCGAAAACGTGCGAAAATGGGAAGATGCGAGAACGGGATAGCGAGAAAGCTGTTCTCGCTGTTTCTGAGTTCTCGGCCTTTTTGGGTTGGTTTTACTTCCCCAGAATTCGCCCCCCTGTTTGTTCTTTTGCTTTCTTGGGGTCCCTTTGTTTTCCACTGACCAGGCAAAAAGGATATTTTCTCGCTGGGGTCCTAGTTCCAGCCTAGTTGAGAGATGCCAGTTGGAGCCCTACTCGTGGGGCTCTGGGCCGGGGCTCTTCAAAGAACCAACCTCTGGTGCCACTCTAAGACCTTAGTCTGCGTAGCAAAGGAAAGAGGCGTGCCTCAAAATGAGGGCAACCCTGGTTGATAGTTTTTGTGGTCTCCCCCCTCAAAACCACTGCCTTGCGGGAATTTCTTCGGTCCGGATCCAAGAAGCAAGACGAAAGCAAAACCAGACGATGCGCTTTTGCACAACCCCTATTTAGCACCAAATGTTTTAAACTTCGAGGGACAATTTATCAGGACCAGTATTTCCGGAAAAGTATGAAACCAACATGGGGTGGGTCAATTTGTGCCCATGTTGCAGGACACTCAATCGTGCAATAGATTCGGACCCTCTTTCCAGCAACCCTGGAAGTGATCAGGAGGGTTGGGAAGCGATTTGTAGAAATCGGTTGCGAACCTTGCTCGGTTTTGATTGTACGTCACTGGTCACTTTTGGGTCTGAAAAAGCTGGAAGATGAAACCGGGTCCTTAGAGCAACACTGTCCGAGCCCATTTCAGGTTTTCGCGCCGCGCGCCGTGGACACTTGCAGTATATTTTGCAATCCTTCCTAAGTGTCCACGCACCCCTACCCCGTTGGGGCAAAGAAGACATGTCTTTGATCTGCTTGAAAACGACTATTTTCCAACTAAACGGTGGGTATGGGTCAAAATGAAGCCACCAGAAAACCGCACGTTTTAGTCCTTGGGTCCATTTGCCGTTCCATGCTGGGAAATTCTTTGACCCGTGGCCATGTTACACTCCCACCACTGATTATGGAACCTGACAGGGGCCCAGTCCCTTTAAAAGCAGCATGCTCTTTTAGGACCTCCCCAAGCTAAATATGGAACCTGACAAGGGGGTCCCTTTACTAGCAACATGATCTTTGGGTCGCCCTTGGGTCGCCCCCCAATTTTCCGCGTCAACTGGCGGGGGGGGGGTCTTCACTTCTCGCCCCTTACGCCGCTCGGAGCGAGAGCTCGCTCTCCAGGCGCCGCTGAGTGGCCCGGTGGCGGTCTGCACGGAGGACTTTGGCCACAACGGCACGGTGGCGGTGGCGCTGGTGGCCAGGCGCGATCTGGCCGGGCTGAACGCACCGGGGAAATCAAAGGTATTGGTTTGGTATTGGTTTGGTATTGGTTTGCTAGCTCCCCCAGTAGTGCCCTTTCTCACCCCTTTTTGGGGGAGGGTTCCCCTACTAAAACAGACTACAGAAAAAAGGGCACCCTTATTCTAACCTCTCTACTGGAAGACCGAGTTTAGTATCGGTTTAGTATTGGTTTAATATTGGCTTAGCAATAGTTTGTATTGGTTTAGTAGCATTTTGGCTTTTCGGCCCGGAAAACGGTTGCTGGCCCTTTGAGCGCCTTTGTTTCAAAGTAGATGTGAGAAAATCAGCGGTGCGTGGATGGGTGTTGTTTGCAGAGATATTCGATCTTTCTTGAGGAGAAGCCCACGTGAAGAGAGAGGGGAATGGCAGGGACGCAGAGACGGTTGCACAATTGGGTACAGTACCCCCGTTTCATTTAGCATTTAGGTGAGGATGCATGTCCACCAACCAGTTTTGAGGTGGGCCTCAAATGAAAATGTCACTGCCATGTTTGGACATTCGGCCAGCTTCGACGCTCAATGGGTTCTCTTGCGGCGCCCTTTCCTGGTTTAGACCCTAATTGAGGGCCTTGAGGAAACTAAGGGGGTTGGTGGGGTGGGTGGGGTTGTGCTGAAAATAGCACCCCACAACCCATTCTATTACTTTTGTGGCCCTTATTAACTTATAGTATGGTTTACAGATTGCATTTGCTCGCATGAGTAGAAGTTTCAGCAAACATGGTGGGTCGGAAAGAAGAAGCCCAAAATGCTGGATTTTGCTTTAGAAGGAAACCACAGCGGGATACGCGAACCCGGTCCTGCCAAATGAACTCAGGGGATGCAGCAGGACATCTCGCTCCCAGCGTGATTCCTTTGAGGCTATTGACCATTTACTGGCATGTTGGGTTGATGCATGTTGATTCCCAGCCTTTGCGGTTTGTCAGGTGGCCTACAAGAATGGAACCTCAAGTGGAACAAAACCAGCCCCCTTGGAAATTTGTTGGCTGAGCACTTTTGTATAAAGGCTATGTGAGGACAGCGGCAGTTTGGGAGATGGGTGTTTCCGGACCAACAAAAGTCCGGACCCCTATTCATTTGGGTGGGGGGGTAGAGCACAATTGTGGAAAACACATCTTGTATCTGGCTCCCTTTGATTTATGGGGTACCGGCATTCCCTTTTTTCCGGCTAGTCACAGGCCTGTTGGCTCCTCGACTACTAAAGTACTCGGAGGAAGGTACCAAGTTGGACGCTTAGGGTGCCCAGATCCAGGTGCCAAAGCTCTGAGATTTATCATTATACATGGTGGTTTTCCCGTGCAGTTGGGGAAGCCGCTGGTGGCAAATGTCTAAGACTGTCCTGACTTTTTTGAGTTGCCAGTGCAGCCACTGATTCCTGAGTCCCTTTTCGGCTTCCTTCCGTTCGCTTCAAATCCAAGGCAGATTCAGCGCAATGCAAAACACATCAGTAGCCTTCCGTCCACTAACATGGAACCTCACTGGGCGGTGGTTGATGGTTGGCAAGGCAATTAATTCCCTGAGAGAATTCCAGCAAATTGAGCCAAAATAGCTTCTGAACAAAACCACACATGCCATCGTTCTTATTGGGCGCTTTTCCCGCCACCTGTGGTCGAGGTCCAGCTCTGTGGCCGCGTTGGCCAATCCGCTCAAGAAGCTGACGCTGCGCGGCAGGGCGACCGCGACCTGGGTGGATACCATTGAGCTTCGGCCCGATGGCGATACTTCAAGGGCCCTGCCAAAGCCACAAACCCTCCCTCACCCCAGGAAAGGTTAAGAAGAGCTTTGTAGGGGTGCCTTGAACAAGTTCTTAGAACAAGACCGCGGGCTGCTTGAAAAAAGTTCTTAGAACCGCGACTCTTCACCGAGACAATAATATGTTTTTTTAGGGCGTGATACCATCCCCTGACCAAACTGGACCTTGGGCAGATTTCCGGACCCTACCGCCCGTGCTCACCTAAACCTCGCTGCTGTTCTATTCCGCTTTCGAACTCTTGTGTTTTTGTGTGTAAATTTCTTGATCCCTCCCCTTCCTAAACACTCCCCAGCCCCAACCAGTTGCAGTGAAGAGCCCTTAGTAAGGACCAAACCATCAGTTGTTTAGGGTTTCAAACTCAGAAACAAAGGCATCCATACTTGGCAGGGGGCCCCTTTCGACCTTCGGTTTTAATGTTGACCCAGGATTAATAACCTCTGTTTATTCATATGGGGGGTGTTCCCCCCCATTTCCCCTCCAAAAGTGGTCTGATTCCCCTCTCAAACCAGAAAAACACCCCACCCCCCCCCCCCATATTCACAAGAACAGGAGTTTATTCATCCAGGGACACCCCCCCATATGACCCCCCCCCCAAAAAAATGTAGAAAAGGCTTGTCCTAGGGGGTGGGGGGTAGATGGTTGCCTGTTCTGTTTTCTTTTTCACATTTCAACGCGTGAACCACCTTATCCGTTTTTTCAAGGCTGATTTTGGGGGCATGAAATAACGATATGGATGTGGTAACGAATTGATGATTTGGTCCCCTGTCTCGTTCCAGATTTCAACTTTTAGTTTTATCAATTGAAAGAGGTTAGGACTTTCTGTGGTTTCATGGGTTGGCTTTTGGGCGGTTGTTGTGGTTTGTCATTTAATGAAATGTTTATAGATTAAAAGTTCACTATAATTATAACATATAAGAATATAAATGATATAATTATGGTTTAGTTTTGAATTATACAGGTTCATCAACAATTAGCTTAAACTTTATGCTTTTGACTCCTCCAAACTCCGTTCTACTTCTTTCTTCATCAATACAACTGTTTATTTCTTGATACGACGCCATCATTACTTCAGATAAATTATCTATGGTTACATTATCTACAACATCATCACTATGAGAAAAGAACGTAAACGTTCTAGAATCATCGTCTTGATGACCCCTCACAAATAAACATACCTCAACTATTATCACTGCTTCATAACCGTTATCGGTTTCAATGTCATCTAACAAACAATCTAAGTTTTCATTTTCATTAAAAACTGTATCTTCGATGCTTTCAATGCTTAAAGGTATATTTCTTGAAATGTAATACTTAATTATGTGTCTCTTGAAATCATCGCCATCTTCAACAGTATAGCGCTTTGTCTTTCTTTTCGTTTCAGTTCTTTTAAATTTATATCGCTGTTGTATTATCTTTAATGTCTCAATATGATTATGTTTTATATTCAAATACTCAGGTTCCCCTAATTTATATGAAATTATATTTTTTAATATATCAACAGGTAAGTTAGTCCATTTCTCACTCATTGTCTCTTATTATATTATATTATTTTTTCTTTAAGTAGTTTTTAGCTGGGGGGTTTCAGGTTTCATTTGAATGCCTTGTTAGATTATACAACTTTGTTGTAATCATATTATAGTTATAGAATAATATGAATAAACCTATGTTCAGTGTTTCCAGTCTCCTATGTTGTTCCAAGAACTGCTTAAGATGTTTCTGATATTATACCAGATTAAGTTAACGTCATAATCTTTCATTGGTGCTCTTTGTTGTATTAAATAACGCAACACTGATATCAAAGTATAATAATTAAAATGCATTGTTGTCATTCCTCCTCTTTCGTTAATACTATTACCATTATGTTTAACGAGTTCTTCTTTCATTATGTTTTCGTAAATCTCTTTTATCCATTGATGATTTTGTTCTCCATACTCGGCGAACATATCTAGATATATATCTTCCATTGTTTTATCGTTTTTTATTATTTCAATGACTTGTTTATATGATGGATAGGGATTATCCTTAATGAAACTCAAAATTATCTTTCTATCCTGTTCCAGCTCTTTTTCTGTCACTCCTATCATTGGCATTTTACTGTTTTATATTAAAGGTGTCAGTTCTTTAAGTCTTGTTTTATTTTAGATAAGGCACTTCATTTGATGGTTCCAGTCTCAACTTGCGAGGGTGCCAGTCTCAAATGTTGAGGGTTCCAGTCTCAAATCAACCGATTTTGAGGGTACCAGTCTCAAATGTTGAGGGTTCTAGTCTCAAATGTTGAGGGTTCCAGTCTCGAGATTGCCAACCTCGGATGTTGAGATTGCCAGCCTCGGATGTTGAGATTGATGATTACAGTCTGGTATCATTCATTGCCGGACAGTACCACTAAATAATTCTAATAATTTCATACTATTAGAATTATTTAGATATTTATTTTAATTATCTTCATTATGTTCATTGTTATTTGATTTATATGATTGACATTTCACTGTTTGTTGGTGTTTCTTCATATAGTCATTCCTGATTAATTGCTTACACATATTACACTCAACTTTTTTACTTCTTTCATCCTTTTTCTTCTCGTAGTATTCCCGCTTTTGTTTTAGCAAAGTCTCTTTATTTCTTTGTCTGTATTCTTTCTGATACTGACTGACGTATTCCTTATTATTTTCATAGTATTCCTTCACTCTCTCCAGTACGTCTTCTTTATGTTCCTGATGCCATTTCTTTTTGTATTCTCTAATATAATATTTATTGTCTTCCATCCATTCCTTGCTGGTTCTACCAGCAATACATCTATTTATACAATCCGTATGTTGAATATGAAAGCCTTCTCTTTTTAAAAGTTCTTCCTTACTATTGCAGGGATAGTGTTCAATTAGTTCTATTTTACAATTTTCAACACCAAATTCTTCAAATAAATAGCTGGATGTTGTATCAAGTTTAACTCCATTTTTGTATCTGTAAAACTTCATTCTATGCCGTGACATTCTTTGACTTAAAAGTTTATCGCAAGTGCTTCCTACATAACATTTGTTATATCCGACATCAACAACTTTGTAAATTTTCCCATTTTGATATCTACTATTCATTGATAACCTTAGTTATCTATTCTTTAACGTAGTTTGTAATGACCATATGGCAAAGAAGTAAAGGCATCTAAGTAATGTCTTTTGTTCTCATAATTACTGAGTGATTGCTTGACTTGAGACATTGAATATATTTGATGTGTTTTGCTCCTGATGAAGTTGTAGGAGATTTCGTGCTTTTTGTTGTGATGCAGTGCTTCATGATAGTTCTGATAGGTCAGTTCCTTCTTCACCTTGTGCTTGACTACACCTTTTGATTTCTTGTGTTCCTCATCCTCGCCGTGGATTGTGAAAGCATAGGATTTAGGTTTCAACCCGATGAATCTAGTAATGATTTTTCCAGTGACTTCATCTTTGTACATTCCTAAGACCTTCTTATTTGTTGTGTCATGACATGGATGTTCAACAGGATAATCACTAAAATCCATATGCTGCTTGATACCTTGAAAATCCTTGTAGATATCATCCGTGAAGGTTTGAATTACATAACTGTCAGTATCTGTATATATCAATTTGATATTTTCGTTGTATTTCTTTTTCAACACACCATAGTAAAACTCATACATATGTAATTTACTTAAATCAAGAATGGTCATTCCTAAGAATATGGGTTTATCCAATTTCAGTTTCGCTTTAGTTTTCTCCACTCCTACAAGATTTTCATTAATGATAAATCTATTTTTGAATGTAGGATTATTCACACATTTTTCATACCTAACATCATTATCCACCAGTTCAAAATCCATATGTTTTCTTTTGTCTTCCATCGTTTTTCCATACACTGCGTTATTCATTAATTTAAACAAATCCTTCTCAAAGTCGCTCTTCGCTTCTTTCCTCTTACCAGTGTTGAAGTCAATCCACGGTTTCAACCAAGCCCTCTGCTGAAATTTTATTATCCTATGAACCTTGGTGAGTTTCATACCCATTTTTAGATAATACTGTAAAGTCTTGATATGAACAACATATTTTTCTTTATCTTTCAAATTTAATATTAACTTGCTGGTTTTCTCATCCTTCGGTTCTTTGTTTCCATAGTAGATTTTGTAGATTTCCTTTTGATAGTCTGACAACATATTAGCATTGACATTCATTATTTCCGGTGCTAGTGGATAGTCCGAATGGTAGTCATGTAGTGTTTCTGGATAATCCAAATCAACTTCCATAATATAACCATACTCATCTTTTTCATCCCACTTTTCAATGTTAGGTGTTTTCTTCGTCCATTTGATGTTCTTTAAAGGCAATTTTTGAGACATCGCCAGACCATACAAATTGTTAGCATCTAAGTAATTGATATAACTTGACGGCTTGTTTTCATCGAAGGCTTCATCCATATACTTATTGTTTGCCTCAGCCAGTTTGTGACTGACCTGACACATGCCTCCTCTCATTCCCTGTTCAACCATCTCATACATTTCTTTATCATGCAACTGCTCAATTTCAACACCGGTTTTCAACAACATAGCTTCCCAAGCGAAGTTAGGAAGTGTATAATAGTGTGCGGGGTCCAAACCGTAGTATTCCATACATAAGTCTCTAAAGTTTTCAAAAACATCCGTCAATAATAAAACATCGGTTCTCAAATACAAATCATGATATTGTCCTAATGTTCTAATACCGAAGTGTTTCCAAACCTTTTGTGCCCTTTCATAATCTTTGTCATTGACGTGTTCCTCACTTAATTTACTGTAGAACGCTTCTTTTGATGGTAAGTTTCTTTCAGTAAATCTGTCAAAACTATCAAAATAGTCATAAGGATAAATCCCCTTGTCAGTCAACAAGTCCAAATCTTCATCGGTTTTAACATATGGATTTCTAACACTGTATCTAAAATTGTTCTTCCAGTTCTCACGCCTTTT